GCCGTCTTTCCTCAGCTGCCTTTGCCAGGATATGCTCCTTCAACGGATAAAGTACTTTACGCAGCCATCTCTAATGTCACATGGCCAGATACCGACGTGACGCCAGCTACAATTATTCGGACTGCGTGGGCACTTTTGCAAAAGTTATACACAAGCTCGAATGATGTCGTATTTGGCTGCACAGTTACTGGCCGACAAGCCGCAATACCGGGCGCAGAGCATATTGCTGGTCCAACAGTAGCTACGGTGCCAGTCCGGATTCTGTTTCCAGAGGAATCAGATACCACTGTTGAAGAGCTGCAAGCGCAAATACAGCAACGGAGTATACAGTCGATACCATTCGAGCAAATGGGCCTTCAAAACATCCGCAAAATTAGCGAGGACGCAGAGCACGGTTGCGATTTCCAAACGTTGCTCGTAGTACAACCAGCAACTTTGGATGGCCAATCTAGCATTTTCAAACCTCTTGAAACTCCTCGGGCCCAACAAGACGCTGGCGTGTCCTCCACCTATGCTCTAGAGGTTGTATGCGACATCAATCCTCACGGACTGTCTGTGAAGCTCAATTATGATTCAAACGTGATAGACAATGGAAAGATTGCGAGAATGCGAGACCAGTTTGAACACATACTCACAGTCTTGTGCGAAGAAACCCACCAAAAGACTCTACTTCGAAACTTGAGCTTCATCCCACAAAGCGATCTTGAGACTGTTTGGAACTGGAACGCATCTGTGCCCGAAACAGTCCGAGTCTGTATACATGACATGATCTCAGATGTAGCGCATAAACAGCCATATGCGCCGGCAATATGCGCTTGGGATGGTGAACTTACTTACATGGAATTGGAGTCATTGGCATACAGTCTCTCTCTCCGATTAACAGCTATGGGCATTGGGCCGACTGTAATAGTGCCTATTTGTTTCGAAAAGTCAATGTGGACAGCGGTAACTGCGTACGCGGTCTGGAAGACTGGCGCAGCTTGCTTCTTGGTAGACACCAACCAACCAGAAGACCGGCTCCAATCTATCTTACAACAGATACGCCCAAAAGCGATACTTGCATCAGCTGCGAACAAAGCACTGGCCTACCGACTCCAGGAAGCTGCTGCCGGAGCACAATTACTAGACGTCACAAGATACTTTGACGACGTCCTTAAAAACGGCTTTCCTACAAATGACCTTCAGCTGCCGCAATCAGTGACCAAAGCAAAGCCCACGGATCTACTTTACGTCGTATTCACCTCCGGAAGCACCGGTACGCCCAAGGGAGCTACAGTGTCGCACCAGAATTTTGCTAGTGCAATACATCATCAGACGGAACGCCTGGGCTTTAGCCCGACGAGCCGAGTACTAGATTTTGCGTCTTATGCCTTCGACATGTCTTGGTCTTGTATACTGTTCGCTCTTTGTAATGGAGGTTGCCTTTGTATAGGCTCTCAGACAGAAATGCGAAACGATTTGGCAGGCTGCTTGCGTCGATATCAGATTTCGCACATCTCGTTGACTCCTTCAGTTGCTCGGACTGTGGATCCAACGTCGATGTCAGGACTAGAAGTTTTGCTATTAGCTGGTGAGGCAATGTCGCCGTCCGATGTCAGCCGTTTCAAGGGGATACCCAAGCTATTGAATGCATACGGCCCCTCAGAGTGTTCGATTTGCGCAACAGCGGCCAATGTTGGCCAGGTTAGTTTAGGATCCGCCGTTTCAATCGGCAAAGGTGTTGGGCAAAGGACTTGGGTGGTTGATCCCGGCAACGGTAACTACCTCGTGCCTATCGGGGTCGAAGGAGAGTTATGGTTAGAAGGCCCTTTGGTTGGTCAAGGTTATCTCAATGACGAAGAACGCACTTCAGCCGCGTTTGTTCAAGATCCGTCTTGGCTGCTCCAGGGGATACCAGAATTGGGGATCTCTGGCCGAAGGGGACGCCTCTACAAAACAGGAGATATAGTACGCTATCAAATGGACGGCACCCTAACTTTTGTTGGCCGCAAGGACTCACAAGCAAAGATTCACGGCCAGCGACTGGAACTTGGTGAGGTTGAGCACCATGTACAACAACTGCTTCCTCAAGATCAAGACGTGCAAGTTGTCGCTGAGATCATAAGTCCACGTGGAGGTAGCGCTATATTGGCAATGTTCATCAGCATGCCCGAGATTGATCAATCGCAAGCAAGAGTTGCCGAGATAGCAAGCCAGATAAGGCAGAGGCTGGTCAAAATAGTTCCGGCATACATGATCCCTTCGGCCTTTATACCCATTGCTGCCATTCCTAAGACGGTAACAGGCAAAATAGACCGCAAGGCACTCAAAACAATCGGCGGTGCCCTTACAACGGAAGACATGGCAGCGCTTGATCCGAAGAGGAACCAACAACAGCGTCTGCCTGTCACAGCTGCAGAAAAGCAAATGCAATACCTATGGGCGTCAATTCTAGATATCGATGCATCCAACATATACCTCGATGACAGCTTCTATACGGTTGGCGGTGATTCTATCCAGGCAATGAGGCTGGTGGTCGCGGCGCGAGAACAGGGTCTGTCACTTACTATTACAGACATCCTGACCTCATCAAGTCTCTCTGAGCTTATCCACCTGGAGAGCTCAGATGAAGAGGATGATCAAAGCCTCATTGATGATACAGCCTTATTGCCATTTTCTCTTCTTGGCCACGGCAGCTCACTTTCGATCAGTTCCTTGCTAGAAACTATCCCAAAGCTTTTGGACCCTGATATTATATCATTTACGGATGTGTATCCTGTCACTACTGTCCAAGCCGATTTCATTGAAATGGCAATGCGGAAAACCCCTCTGAGTTGTGCAGCAATGTATTTTGACTTCCCCGGCGATATGACAGACGTGGAGCTAGTTACTGCCTGCTCAATACTATGGGACAAGTTCGATATTCTCCGCGCCATCTTCATTCAATACGAGGGCGCTTTCTTTCACGTCATTTCGGACGCGATAGAAATCCCTGTTTGTATCCATCCAATTGAGAGAGATCTCGAATCTTCACAGCTTCATCCAAAAATCCTCTCGCAGCCATTGCAACTAGGAAAACCTTTTACCATGTTTCATATTCAGAGATCGGTACAGGGTCCCGTTCGACTAACAATAAGAATAGCCCATGCGCAATACGATGGAATGAGTCTTGGTCCGCTGTTGACCACTCTCTCTGCTCTCTTATCTCATCAACTGCCACCGTCAGTTCCACAATTTTCGCAATACATCAAGCATATGCAATACCTAGAAGAGAAGTCGTTCCCGTTTTGGAAGAGTTTTCTCGAAAAGTCTCAGCCTTTGCAAATGCCCATGCCCCGTAATTTGGAACATTCCACAGGAAAAGCGCTGCGACTGAGCAGGACTATCCCAGCACCAGGAAGAATTGATCGCACGACTTCCGCCACGGTATTCATTGCTGCATGCGCACATGCTCTAGCTAAATTTACGCACTCAACGGATCTGGTATTTGGGCTTACTGTGTCAGGTCGCTCATCCCTCAGCGCAGAGCTCAAAGATGTCATGGGGCCATGCTTGAACATAGTTCCCATTAGGGCAAAGGTCCAGCAAGAGACATTGCTCAGAGATGTTATCAGCCAGGTTCAGAGCCAACGCCATCGCAGTGTTGCATATGAAGCTGCAGGGTCTAAAAACCTCCTACAGGATTGCACAGATTGGCCTCCAAGCTTACGACGATACAACTGTATTGTGCAGTTCCAAAATATCGATGAGAACCCTGCTCTTTTCTCCGGTAGCGGACCGCAGCTTAATATCGTTGCCAAGCCTGGACTGGTGCAGACCAATGACATTTTTATCATCGCTAAGCCTACAAAAGATCATTGGTCTCTCGAGATATCTGGATCGGATTCTTATGATCTGAAACAGCTTAGAGAATTTCTTGACGGAGTTTGCGCCTCAATATTGGAGATTTAGTTTAGAGAATCACCACTAGTTGCAGAATTACCTTTTTGCTCAGAACTATGAGATATGTAGGGTTAGAGTATTCTTGTCAAGTCCTTACGATAGTGTTAGAATAGAAAAGTTAGTGTTTTAGTATCAATCTATTTGACTGTACTTGATGTAACAATAATAGGCCTACGCAACAAAGACATAGATCCATTATGAAGTGTATCAATTTGTAGAACTGCTTAAGTGCGATGTCCGAAATGCATAGCCGGGGTTCGTTGATAATAGCCTGAGGGCATACAGTGGCGGCAAATGTCTATACAGCCTGGCCGCAATACAGGCTAAGGATTACAGGCTAAGATGTATTCCCATAAATCTCTAAGCAAAAGAAGCTATAATTGAACAAGTTACAGTGTAGTAAGATACGATATATAAATGATATACACATTTTGTTTTACGATTTGTATGCAAGTCAATGATAGGAACAGCCTACTTGGTTTTAAAAATGTATAGACTTCAAAAAGAGAATGGGTGCATATAGGGGCATAGCAATCATACGACTGGGAGTCTAGCGGTGAAATGCCCTTACACCGCTATCTATCCAGTAATTAGTACTCAGTATATTCCAATAATGACATGTTTAAATATTCTAGCAGCGAATAAGTGTTCTTACACGGAACTAGAATAATGAGTGAGAGATAATTACTCTTTTCAACCATGTCAAGTATTAAAGATACAGCGAACTTGGAGTATGTTGCAGCCGGAATATTATGCTATATGTGAATTACCGCTCGGAGCCAAAACGCTCGGGAAATTAGAAAAGCGGCGGTGTGTGCATAGCCCCTAGTTTTCAATCCCTCTATATATTATATTAGAAGGCCTTTGCTGTGCTGCCCATTCCACATGTTGCCAGACCAAACACTCTAATAAACATCCTGTATCGGCGTTGCGATTCAGGTTAAGCCACATATTGAACATGAAGGCCTCTCTTTTTGTCGGCTCTCTTATCGCGAGCTCTGTTGCCGCGTATAAGGCCACCACCACCGCAAGTACACTTTCTATAACCCATGTCAAACAGCAGCTAACCGGAAATATAGCGCTACTATGATGGGCAGGAGGGTGCCTGTGGCTGCGGCGGTGCGAATGGCGGCGCCGCTTTCTCCTGGCAGGTGAGATCTCGCGCTATTGGGCCAGCTACTCTGTATCAATCTTTGTTTCTAACCCGCATTCCATCGGTAGCTTGGCATCGGCAACGGAGTTTACACAGCTGCCGGCTCCCAGGCTCTCTACGACACGGCTGGTGCTTCGTGGTGTGGCGCGGGCTGCGGTAAATGCTACAACTTGACCTCGACGGGACAGTCGGCTTGCTCTTCTTGCGGCACGGGCGGCGTGGCGGGCCAGAGCATCATTGTCATGGTTACAAATCTGTGTCCTAACAATGGAAACGCGCAGTGGTGCCCAACCGTGGGAGGCACCAACCAGTACGGCTACAGCTACCACTTCGACATCATGGCACAGAACGAGGTATTTGGAGACAATGTCGTTGTTGATTTCGAGCCCGTCGCTTGCCCAGGCCAGGCTACTTCTGACTGGCAACAATGCCTCTGCGTCGGAATGCAAGAGACCGACACCACGCCTGTGCTAGGAGGCGACACGTCTCCGCCGCCGGGCAGCAGCTCAAGCCGGCCGCCAGCATCCGCAACATCGTCAGCACCAACCGGCAGTGGGACACAATCACTCTACGGCCAGTGTGGAGGTACTGGGTGGGCAGGCCCTACAGCTTGTGCGCCCCCAGCCACCTGCAAAGTGCTGAACCAGTACTACTCCCAGTGCCTTGATTGAGTAAAGATGGGAACAATTCGTGAGAATTGAATGGACATTTGCATATATGAATCGTAGTATATACTAGATGAGTGAAGACGATAAATATAGATAATCTTGGTGGAAAAGTATGCTTAAAAACAAAGCTCGAGCTTATGTAACTTTTATTCAGCGCTCTTGTAATACAGTTTGTAATAGCGACGAGCCGACTCTGATTTATAATGCGTGAAATCGATATTCTATTGCTACCCTCGCTTCTAGACTTGGCTTGCCATGGTAAGCGCTTAAATACATATATTTCATCCATCACTGCGCAAGTGTCAATGATATCTATGCACAGGCGGCATTGGACACACTTGAAAGAACACAGCTTGTCTGACTTTACATCTACACTTATAATGGCCAACCAAGGTCCAGCTTCAGCTTCTACAGCTGCCCAGACTATTGCAACAAACGATGAGCACCGATCGCTGTACTTGTCCTACATTGAACACTGCAATGCGCACAACTTCAATGCGATGGAGGCATTTTATACATCGCCAATCAACATCAATGACAAACCTTGGTCCCCGTCTGAAGTCACGGCGCAGTTCAAGCCTCTAGTTGCTGCATTCCCGGACTGGCAATGGACGATTAGGCACCTGACTATCGAAAACGGTTATATGGCACTTCACTTGAGTGTAACTGGCACTCATCAAGGCGAATTCCAGGGGATCCAACCAACCGGACGCCGCGTGACTACGTCGCAGTTTACCCTCTACCGACTAAGGGATGGGAAATTCACCGATGTTTGGGATCTTATCGATATAAACTCAGTGGTAGACCAGATCAAACAAGTCGGATCAAAATGAGCTCATTCGGAGACGCTAGCTGTTGTATGTTTGAAGGTTAAAGGAATCAGCTTTTATCTTGAATACAACATCAGCACTGATGTGATATATGTTGTTGCACGTGCACCTTCTTGAATGTATAGCACATGAATCTCTCTCTGGAAACATCTTGTTTAATATTATATAACTGCTGTTAAAAGCATTGAAAGACGTATGCATGGCTGATTTCGAAGCCAATGGTTTTGGACATATTGAACGAAGAACTTTCATGTTTGTGCTCTTTTCACTCTTTCTCTGGCTTTTGTTATGAAATTCAATTGATTCATATCATCTTTCTAAGTTGAGTAGTTCTTGTTCTTTGAATAACAGGATTTGGGCATCTAGAAAAAGAGACTAGGCGTAGATTACGTCCGCTAACTCTTCCAACGCGACAGATGCTGCGCTATTGTGGTGAAGGATTTTTATTATAAGCCACGTTATAGTTGTCGACATAACCACATTGTAAGAATGCTGGGTTGTATGGCTGGTTATCCATGATGCAGGCAGATGCATCATAACCTCTGGACTTGCTAGGGTCAAAATGAAGGAAGAACCAGAATTGGCAGTTGGGATCAGCAGTACACAAATTTTCGCATTCCCGCACTCCCGCCTGGTAGTTATTCGTCGGGTCGTTGTTAACATCGGGGTAGTTGTAGTATTCGTTGTAAACGCAGTCGTTGGAAGGAAGGCTGACTTGGCTATAAGTAACCGTGTCATAGACGTAATGCGTAGCTATGGGTGGAGTAACTGTAATAGTTGTAACGGTTGTTGCTGTTGTCGTAGTAGAACCAGTCACCGTGGTAGTTGCATAAGCGGTAACAGTGGCTGTTGATGTTGACAGCCTAGTAATTGTAGAAGGGATAGTGGTGGTCACTGTTGTTGCGTGGATGGTGGAAGATTTCGTCACAGTAAGTGTGGTCGTAGCATGTGCAGTAGTCGTGCTGGTCACAGTCACTGTAACTGGTGGTTTCAAATAGCAGCCACAAGCTTCTATCGCTTTGTCTTCGTAGATAACGGAAAGCTCCTTAGGCAACCCATGAAATAGTTCGCCTAGGCAAGGGTCGTGTTGGTTTCGCTTCTGCACATACGCAGCAGTGGTGGTGGTACTAGAATCAGCCGCAGTATTGGTTAGTACGTCTCGATTACAAGATCATATCTTAGCCAGACATGGACATGGCTACTCACATTGTAACAGTTTCCGCAGGGGCTGTGACTGTTTGTGTTATGGTATCGGTATCGGTTTCAGTGGACGTAGCAGTGGTAGTAATTATTGCAGACACTGTGGCGGTTACAGTATCAACTTGAGCATTTGTCTTTGTCACCGACACGCTAACAAACGAGGTTCCTTGCTTAGCGGTTATGGTTGTCGGCTTTGTGCAGGTTGAGGTGACTTTCTTTGTCGTTATCTTCGTGGTGGTTTTGGTGCCGGGAGGTGGGCGGTGCAGTAACTTTGCACAGATATCATTGCTAATCGAGGAGTATTTAGAAAATGTCTTGACTACAGCAGCAACATCGCTCCTGGTGCAACAGCTATTTGTGCGTTTCTCCGCAGAGTCTGGTGGGAGGCTCGACGCATTGGCAGTAAAACAGAGAGATAGCAGCGAGAACAGGATGCCCAACATGAAGTTTCTGGCTGGAGAATGCATCTTGAAAGTCATCAAACAAAAACAAATTGCAGATGGATGAAGATAGGAGCTTGAGAAGCTGGTAGAAACCAACTCCCCTTATAATATTCTTTCACTCTACTGTGCTGGACTTGAGTTGGCGAATAATTTGCCTCCCTTACATCGATCGTCGTCTAGTCCAGTTGACAGACGCTAACATCTCAATAGTGCTGGGAGCTGAACGTCTTGAAGCTGGGAATTCCCAGCTGAAAGGGCTACAAGCTTCAAATTTCCAGACCGCTTGGAGACGGCAGATGCGTTAGTGCTCCTACTACGCGCAGTAGTTAGCGCTAATGCTGCACTAAAGGCTCTTATACAAGCAATAATTTCCTTCGCTGTGCCGCGTGAGGATCGGAAGTTGTAGCTGGGGTTAGCCAGAGATCTTGGATCTAGAACCCTTGAAGAGCACCAGCGCGTTTCCCCGCCAAGCACGCGTATCCATCTCACGAGAAATTATAAACAATAGTATTGAGAATGCATATATTAATTGCATGCAACTATTCTCCAAGCATAAGACTACAATGGAAAATTCGTATTGGCGATCCAACGAAGTGCAGGCAGAGAGATGTTTTCCGAAGACCGCGAGTTTCTCTTACCGAATGAAAATCAGTTCGACTATGAGCGTGATTGCGCGCAAGAAGCCTCTCTATGAAGCATATAGTGCCCAAGTTGAACGACAACTTTCGCTGCTAAATGGTGTATCTAAATTATTGGTGGCGTTGTTGGCCTTGGATTCGACGATAATCGGTGAACAGCCTGTCAGTGTTATAAGTGCTGTGCCAACACTTACCGATGAATCTCAAAGCAGCAAGTGACAAGAGTTCCATAGAAACAAGTTGCGACTAGTTAAGTTGTATGATGTCAGAAGGCGACAAAAGTGAACTAAGATCATCGCAAGCAAGGTTGCGGTATTTTGCGACAAATTTGGTGTGGAATCTTCAACTAGTACATACCTTATATGTCACGCCGATCTGGTCGTATAATCCCCAAGATCTGACGACTCAAGTGCCCTAATGAGTTATGATGCACGGAATGATAATCATCTAATTTCAGGTGCTAAATAATACGTAGGTGACCGAGGTGAGCTCAAGAGTTCAGAGCCTGCATGAAAAATACGATCTCGAAATCTTAGTAGAGAACAAGATAGAAGGGCGCGATGCTAAGGCAAAAAGCGCTCTAAATGCGTCAAGTATTCCTTTGCGTCAGTTCCCGATTTTAGATATGCTTAATTACACATGGGGAGTGTTTTGAGAATTCTCTGGGGCTAAATCTCTGATTCCATATACGTCTGATAAGTGATTGAATTGATAGGTAACTAAGTGGCGGACATATCCTATTTATGAGTTCATGGGATTTATGATAAACCCAACTCAATATTAATCTGCTCTTTGATCTAGCCTTGTTGCCAATTTTTACACCCTGCATTACACCGAATCTAATGCCCTCGCTTACACAACTTCATATAGAGCTGCGAGCCGTAATGCATTATTTTATCTCGGCGTACTGGTCAAGAGCATCATGCAGCCGCCCAAATATACCCCCATGCCAGCGTCGCACCTCTTCCCACTCTTGCTTGGGCAAAGTCCTTTGAGCCATCCGCAACCAGGCGCCAACGATCAAGTCTGCGTAGCTGGCCTGCTGTCCTAACAGAAAAGGGCCGTCAACATTTTCAAGGAACAGTTTCGCCAGGTCGCCTAACATATTCTCAAATGATTTCATGAGCTTCTCGCGCGCTTCTCTGGTCAAAATAAAGTCCTCCCAACAGCTAACGCCAGCACGGCGAACGAATTCGGCCTTGGTCTGCTCAAATGTAGCCGGGTCATACGGCATACCTTCGACCATTAGCTGGACGTGAGCGCTGAATGCTGCGTCAACATTTGTGTTGAACCGAAGGTACTCGGGGAAGCCTCCATCCTCGCGCTTCGACAATGGAATGGGGATTTGGTAAGTCGACACAAAGGTGTAGTCAAGAGTCTGGGCAGGGAACAAGTCGCCGCCGCCCGAGTCAGGATATGTGCGCTGTAGATAGAGGGCGATGTCGAATGAGTCCCCGACTGTGGCATTCGTTGCAGGATCTTGAATCACGGGAAGAGTGTAGAAGTCGGTGCCGTCGGCAAACTTGCGAGAGGCAGGTTGACCGAGGCTTTGGCGCAATTTCGAAATGTCAGGCATAGCAACCCACGACGTCGAGTAATGGACGCCCTTGAAATTGAGCGCCAGTCGAGTTTTCCATGGGTTTGGTGAGCAGCACGACTCCTCTACGGGGGGCTTGTGAGCGATATCGTAGAAGGTGATGGAAGCCATTGCGTGGTAGCTATCGCAGTATATCTTTGGCGGAGGGGTGTCTTAGGGGAGATGTTGCGAGACGAGGCAAGCAAACGATTGTTAAGTGATACAATCTGCGCGTAATTGGTGTAATAGGAATACAAGTATCACAAGACAAGCTTATTCTTGAATGTTTGCAATGGTCTGGGACTTCTACGCGGTCCATTTATATACCGGGCCGACAGGGCACCTAAATGTACAAGTGCTCGGCTCGTCGGTGGCACTAGCAAGAAACCTGGCTGAGGATCGCTGGAGGATCGCTGAGGATCGCTGGAGGAGTGTCGGAGAGTCGCATTTGCCCCGCTGAAGGAACATACCGGTACTACCGATGCTGCTGTTTCTGCTGCTACGATGAGGTTCCTGTACGTGCATCATCGAGATGATGTGTCATTCACGATGTGCCGACGTTCCTATTGCACGCTGACGCCCAATCTCCGACGCCACAGAGAGGCTCCAGCAGGCTCATATCTACACTGCCTCGCCATTCCTACTCCCCTTCGCCAAGTCCTGGTGTATTGTCTGGTAGCAAAGTCCTCGGTTACCTATTGGTGGCTTAGCCCCCCATGCTGCTCAAATTTCCCAGGTCTATCGGTAATACAGGTATGTAAAGATTACATGCAGTGACTCACCAAAGGGGCCAGCAGTCATCAGTCAATCAATACGTGTATTTTCGCCGAAATGTTATGTATATCCCCGCCCTAAGGAGTTCAGGCCTCGCGTACAAGGCGCATGGACAAGTAAATGCACTTTATTTCATGTTCTTAATTTCGTTTCGCGTATTGCCGTCTACTACTACTAAGCGAGCCTCTGATACACGGCAAAGACTCACTCCGCCGCACACTTGCCGTTGCTGCAAACGAAGTCATCCGAGCAGTCATCGTCAGATCCGCAGGAAGCCCCGATGCAGTGACCCTCCCAGGAGCAGGTGCCAGAACCTCCGCCAGAACCTCCGCCAGAGCCGCCGCCGGTTGAGGTTCCAAGACTCTGGACGAGCGAATCACCCAATGACTTGATGCTGGCTTCAAATTGTGAGACATTGCTCGCTTTCCAGTTGGCGCCGTTCTTGCCAGGCACGGCCTCATCGCCGACGAATCCAATGTACAGCACGTCCTTGGTGCCGTGGCCAAAGTCGCCATTGAGACCCTCGTTGGGGAAGCACAGCTGTGCAAGTGAAATTGCTGCTTCGCCTGTAGTCGGCTCTGTGTTGGTATCGCCCCAGATGCCGTACCACTAAGGGGAGGAGTAGAACTGGTAAGCATACACTGGCTTGAAAATTATTGTACACGCGTATAAAGGCAAGACTTACTACTTGATTGTTGCACACAACAGCCATTACACTCAGCGGCTTCATGCCATGTTGCTCGGCGTTGAAGAAAGGTGGCTCGTTGAAAACGACATATGGATGGATATTGGCATTCAAATCGGAAATGCCATAGGACTGCACGGTGTCCTTGAACGCTGTCTCGCCATAGCCGGTAGGATCATTTGAGCAGTCGCCAGCCTTGTCGTCGGAGCCATCGCAATCGACGTCCATGTTGTCATAGTTTCCATTGCTTCCTTTCAGAAAGATAGCATTTGGGATATCTCCGCAGAATACAGCTCCTGACGAGGAGGTCCCTGAGAGCGGGGTGGCGCAAGTTCCTGACTGTTGGGGGATAATTCATATTAGTGATGCTCAGGATATGAAACTTGGGCAAAGCGCTGACCTTGTGAGCGTTATAGATTGCCTGAAGGTTAGCAGGAATTGTGTAGGCTAAAGAGCCAGTGCCAGCTGTGGCAGCAGCGAAGAGAATTGAAGAGCGCATGTTGCTTTTGTGTTGTATTAACGCTGAAAGCAGTGTAGGATAAAAAGGCAACGCAGGCTACAATCAAATGCTCTCGGAGAGAATAGTCCCCTATTATATATTTATGTATTATATGGCATGATAACCTATGAAGAAATACGAGAATGCAAGGTTAGGAGTTATTGAGAAACTCCGATTAGAGTTGCTAACAGTAACACTTATTGTAGGCCCCCACAACTCTATATCACACACTAAATTAAGCTTGAATAGGAAGGCTGTTCCTCTGAGTGAATTTGGAGCTTCTGAAATCGCCTATCCTTGCGTAAATATTAGTTATGGAGGGTATACGAGAAAGGAAGGCTCCGATGATTCGAAAAAAGCTGAATGTTTCCAAGAAAAGGCCAGGGTAGACTTCGTATCGTTCGTAGTAGCTGCGGTATTCCCATTTGTTTAAGAGCCTACATGAGATTAACCAAGGTATGTAGGTAAGCTCTAGATCCTACGCACCACATATTTTCCTCCAATGGGACTGACCCCGAAATGCCAAGACAACCGCTATAAATCAGTCTACGTGCCAAAAATGGCATTTCTTGTATCATTTATCTATCTCGAAAGGGTAAAGGATTTCAAGGGGCAAGGACAGGGAATGCGAATTAATCCGATGAGTTGGACATTATGGCACTGAAAGCTATCTGGTAGCTGATAGCTCAGGCATAACTAATAATTGGCCCATGCTTACAACTACGGAATGGGATTGCTGCATACCCTATAAAGAACATCAAGAGTCGTATACAGTTACTATTCAACTGAAAATTACATTATCTTCCATGTTTCCGTGCTGGCACTACTTCAATGCAGCATTTACATTTACATGCACATACATGATGAAGATGCTGAGAATATCTATGTGCTGCATATGGTGGTTCCTGTGTCGAGACCGACGATATAGAGGTGCGCAAGATTACAAACCTCTGAGGACTAATCTGACAAGGTAGGGACCTGTATGGACGATGCTGTCTGTTATACAAGTAAAATACTTTTCTGAATTGATTGCTGTTCTTGTTAATTCATGCAGTGATTACGGAAATAGAAAGGTTGAACAAAACCGGATACGAGGCGGAAGTCCTGCTTTCAAATGTTCATTGGGTAGAATAGAGGTGTGAATAAACAATGTCCCAAGTAGCAAAACGATAAATTTGGCCCTTAGGTAGGAAATTTGGCGTAAAATAATGGATGACGAACAAAACTCCCATATTGCTGTTCATGGAGTCCAATGCGATGTATGAACTTGGGTAAAGAGATGTAGCGTACGGAGTACGTGCTAGACGGTATCTCAGCGGGGCCTTAGATCAGCTCAGTCGCTGGTAGGTAGGGCTGCATTAGGAATACCAGCGAATGCTCTGCAAGTTTTACATGTGCTATTCTACTTGCACTGCACCCATACATAATAGAAAAAGGCAAGGCCTCAAAACGATTACTGTGATCCAGATATCTAATCATTGCCCGTTTGCAAAGACACGATTATTTAGGCAGGCCAGCTTGAAAGCGATTAAAAGGAATTGGCGAAGAGAGACACTGAGATGTGTTATAGGAAAAAATACATTCCATCGTCATCAAATGACTAATAAGCTTCTTTATTACCTACCTACCTATACTAGTAAGAGCTCACCAAATGTCAACACTTTAGTTGCGCTTGTACCTGAATATACTGTATTTAGATACAAAGAACGCTACTCAGGGCACACCGTTTACCTTTACGGCACAAGTGCTGTCGGGGGCACCGACAATGCCGTTCTGGAGCGGTCCTTGCTCTACCGACGTCTCCGCAATCGTCTTGGCGGTAAACTGTGCTTCCTAGATAGGTAGGTCCCTGCAGGCGCGAACCATCGTATTGGCTGATTAGTTTCACAGAGTTTGTCGTGTAAGCGCGTTTCAGCCTCAGTCATCGCTTGTGCTGCCGGCGTTGTATAGGTAATCATGCCGGTGTTACTGCTGCGCGTGCCGCCAGGACTTTTCAGAATACAGCAAATGGAGTATATGCGTCTGATGGCTGCCCAAGAAAAGCAGGCTACACTTTAACTATAGTTTTTTAGCCTTGCTTGATACTGAATTACTTTAGAAATCGCACCTACAAGAACGGCTCGTCGTCGAGATGTACCGAGTGCCCGAAATCTTCCGTTGCTCTCTCGGTGGAGTCTAATTTCTCCGTAGCTAGGGGACAGCTTATCCACCAAACGCATTCATGTAATTTCTGACCAAAGAGAGAAACGTGCTCTATCCAAAAAGGAAGGCAGAGTTTTTTATAATTGCCCTTTTGCTTACACACGTCTGCATCCATGTTGATTTAGCGTTATAAGACTTTCAATTTCTGTGCCATGTTCAATTTTGACCCAATGAAAGACCATTGAGCATATGACAGTTGAACGTCGAAGAAAAAAAAAATCACAAGAAAGACGGGGGCCTTGTTCAGGTCAGGTCAAAGGGGCCATGTCAGCTGGGGTATATCCACGAGATTTACCAAGAAGGGCAGGACAATCGTGTCTATAAGCTTATGTCCAATAAATATTTTCAGACTATTTGATTCTCCGTGAACATGCAAATGATACTCGTACGGTCTTTCGGGCCGTTTGCTGGTACCAGGCATATTCTTTCACGATAGTACAACCGAAGCATCAATGCAAAAAATGGTATATATAAGTAGCCAAGTGTTCCCCGACTAAAGGCATTTTGATTCAGCAGCAACAGTCTCAAGGAAAGAAGCCACCTCTTATCAAACTCACCATTCACGTTTTTTATATCCTACAATCCGACTCATTCAAAATGAAGGGCCAAATCGCTGCGTCTCTCGGCCTTTTTGCCAAATTGGCCGCCTCTTCTGTCATCTACAGCGGCAGTGGATATGGAACATACTACTACGATATTCAGCACTCCCAGTCCTGCGGCCAGGATCTCTCAGTCGCAAACACGGGCAACGTCGAATGCAGCCAGTTCATCGCCCTGAACCTGAACGAGATCAACAGCAACAACCTCGTTGCCATGAACCACAGTTTGATTGCCAGCAACTTGGCCCAGTACTGCGGCAGACAGGTTGTCGTCAGCGTCAACGGAGTGGCATCGAGCACTCCCTTCTTCATTGGTGATGGCTGCGAGCGATGTGGCACTGGATCGTCTACTGGTCCTTGGAACCCGAACGGAGCTCCCGGTCTGGATTTCAGCTTCTCTGCTCTCAGCGCATTGAACGGCCAGGCATGCAACCAAGGCCACATCGACATCAGCTGGCAGGTTCTGGACACGACTCTTTACAACTTCGACAGCAACGCCCCAGGCCAGCCCGAGGGACCTGTCAGCGGTGGTGGAAGCCCTGGAAACGGCGGCGGCAGCAACCCTGGAAACGGTGGTGGTTCGTGTACTTGGGCCGGCCACTGCCAGGGCGCCAGCTGCTCCTCGGACGATGACTGCTCCGACTCTCTCGTCTGCAGCAGCGGCAAATGCAGCACCGACTCCGGCAGCGGCGGTTCTGCCCCCCCTGTTACTTGCAGCTGGGAAGGCCACTGCCTGGGCGCGAGCTGCGGCTCTGAAGATGACTGCTCTGACTCGCTCGTCTGCACCAACGGCAAGTGCAGCAACTAAAAGAGTTTATGAACTCACGACAGCTTTGTTTATCCCTTTCTACATGTATATAGATTGGTCACTCATGTCTATGGATATTGCCAGACAACATCGCAATGCGGTTTGTCTATGATGACACTGTAAATGACGCTACTAGTATATAGTTTTCGAAAATATATTGTATATATCACCTACACTTTCTCGCACCATTAATCCCTGGTGAATTTTGATAGTGAAATAACTTTTTCTCCGATGTGTCTGTTTCTGGTAGAATGACAATCTATCTACCTAGGTCATGCCAATTTGATGATCAAGGAATAGCAACCCGCAAATGGAAATAATATATACACGCTAATTTAGTTCATAAAAGTGGACAATGATTAAACCAGTAAATGGTACTTGTAAGTCTTAAGCAACCACATTGTATTGCTTTAATTTCCCTCAGAAGGATCGACATCGTACTCGACGTCCGTTCGAATAATATACTTGGCGCCCTTGGTGACACTTGAGCCTTCATGTAGCAGTGCTCCGTTCGTCTCTCCATGTGGGAATATTGCTACGCCGCCCATGACCGGACGCACTCGATAGGCGTTGAGTCTTCCTTCTGACGGGGCTGGGACAAAAAAAGTTGTTTGGCCTCCTTCAAATTCATCATTGAGGTATAGAAGGAAGGTAAATAACGAGCTTTGCTTTTTTCCAGCGGGAGAGTCGTCGTATACATATGTATCGTCTGGACGAATACCGGATGGCGGCCATGCTCCGTCGATGTGGCATCGATATTCTGCGCCAGGGACGTATCGGTACACACGGAAACGTCGATTAATGCCACGAGCCAAGCGACCATTGACGGATGCCGGTACAAAAGGTGACATGCGCGCCCAAAGCCTATCATGGAATGATGTGTCGACGACCCAGTAGAAGTTGTGCGCCAAGACACTCTGATCACCGCCCTCACGCACGGGAATGTCAGGAAGGAAACCAACAGTCTCTCCAATGGCAATAATAGCCTTGCATTCTTCTGGTGAAAGAACATTCGTTGCGAGACTGAGATTGGCCACATTAGGATGTTTATGAAGTTCAATTTGAGGAGATTCTGATGATAGCAGCACGGTGTCAGGCTGAGTAGTGTAGAGGATTGCTGGGTGATAGTTGGGAGGATTGCGGAGCGGGCCAGGGGTTGTTTCGATGATACGCAGGTCAGAAGCTGCTGTGCTGGGCGCTGATGAAAGAATTGATTTGTCTAGAACGGAGTCGTAGATTTGATGTGTTGTGGTAGATGATCTCAGATCCCATGTGGTCTGAAAGGCGATTCGAGAAGACAGTCCAGGCAAACGCTTTCCCAGCTCCATGTTATCATCCACTGGGCAGGTAACGCGCAGAACGGCATCCAGTACACTGAGAAGTTCATCGTCCTTTGCAGAGCGTTCAGGATCATTGGCATTTGTTTGCCTAGGCTGCGTTACAACATCAAGATCTCGCACCCAGCGACATAATGCGCCCAGCTTCGGTTCCTCGCCTCTGAGACGCATCTCGGCGAGTAAGATTTTGGCCTCGAGGTATTTTTCATCAGCAAGTGCAGCAGACACTTTTGCTGTGAGATTTGCAGCCTCCGCTAAGAAATGTTTAGTTGCACCACCATGCTAAATATCTACAGTTTGACATACTGGTAGCATTGACTCCTGTCGTGCATGACTGGCGAAAGTCATACACTGCTGTCCGAAGGTTCCTGCAAAGCTTGGACTTTGTCAAGCTTGGATATTGCGCTAGTGTAGCGAGAGTATCAATCGTCACTTCGAGCTCTTCATCCGAGATGACCGACTGCAAACGCTTGATTTCGAATGGCTCATCGGCGGGAATTGGGTTGACAGGCACCGCCGTCTTGGTGACTTTGACGTGCTTTTGGGGGGTTCCTCCCTGTGCATTACGCTTGCGCTTCGCCGACTTTGATTGTGCCATTGTTACGGGTATCTTTGTGCAACCTACGGATACTGATGCCTTAATCCGTACTGACGACCCTGCACTTCTTGAATGCGGAGAGAATTTTTACGGAACATGAAGCCGAGCAGGCCGCTGGCGGAAGAACTAAAGATCCGATGAGATCTCAGTGGCTGCTCCTCAGCATTGCCTCTACAGGTATGCGATCTGCAAAAGGAAGCTAATTAATCTTCTAGATTATTGATTGTGGCAATTCTAAGTTGCATTGAAGTTTCGCTGGTATTATTCAAAATGTTAATGTATTCTTTGCTGAATCAATCAGATCGCATGATACATAACATGTTCTTGTAAAAGCGAGCTCGGGATATTTGGGTCCCGGCAGCTAGTAGTAGCGGCACTAGATACAGCCACTGAAAGGCTTGGCGATGCTAGCTTACATGCTGCATACGTGTAATCTAACATTCGGAATGAGAGTTACTTTATCTAAAGACTTTCAACATCATCACTAGAGTCAAATGACAACCTAGCAGTGTGTATCACCTGATTGGTACAAAGCCTATGGCCGAATAGCACTAGGCAGTGGTTGCATTCGATTAAACGATCAGCGATCAATTTTCACAACTACAAAACGCTGCAGGGAGCTACTGCCATGTACACCAAACGTTGCATCCAAATCTATTGCAAGCATCGCAACAAAGATTATGCATGAATACATGCTCTATAAACTCAATCACTTATTATTTCGAAAGATTGGATCTTAATATTCACAGATTTACGATCGCGACGTACTGTTGGGGGCTTCCGCCTCTAATCTTCTTTTTGACAAGAACAATAGTCGTGCGGCCATCTCAGAGATGTGCAAATCTCTTTCTTGCCTTTCTTTTGTTTCAAATGATAGAGTCACTTATTATTACGCGCTGAGATAAGGCCTACAAAATCAATAACAATTGGAAATGGAATAATAGAATTGTAAATTGACCCAGTGGTACCGTACCACGTATCTCGGATAATCGGCTGCCGACCACGCGACAGTCCCAAAAGTGCCAAAAGTGCTTATTCTTTTCGAGCTAGATAAAGTCCGATTGCATGGATCAACGTCTAGTTTAGCGAATTAGAGCGAATCAACGGCGGGCAACCGGCGTTTCGTTGCCGGGAGGGATTAGAAAGTTCCTCTCGCAATTCGCCCGCAATAAAGGATATCGGCTCCTCCCTCATCAGGAAATGATTCTACACCAAGGACGGCGATTCTACACCAAAGACGGCGCGGGGTCGATAAGCTAGCTGTCTAGTCGGAACTTTTGCTACCCCACCATCCTCCATTAGAAGACGTGCAGTTACGATTAATACGAATGCCGTGCATAGATATGCTGCATCTATATAATTCAGATGTTGCCGAAACAAGCAACATGGACTCATCCTGTTGTTTCTCTGAGAGGCTGGCGAGGCGCAAATCATCGACATCATGGCCGACCAGCAAGACTCTATCCATGCTCATGGCGTAGCGGATGATAAGGGGATCGGGGAGAGAGAAAAGCATCATGAGATCACTTCGGAAGTTCCAGCGTCCAACGCTGAAACCAGCGAAAAGAAGCCTGGAATGGATACAGAGGTTGAGAGAGCAATCAGCTATGCCGACGATGACAATAACGACGGCTACGATGTCAGAAAGGAAAATCGATTTGGCGAGGTTACGGTAATTGATAACGCAAAAGATCTGGTTACGCACGTTCTTCACGTTGACGATAATCCAAACGACTCCCCATGGACCTTTCGTGCAATGGCTATTGGTAAGTTCAAGTCATCTGTTATGAACCATATTTTTATTAACAAAGACCTCTCTTCCAGGCCTCATTTTGTGCATCTTCGCATCAGTCCTACAGGAAATCTTCTACTTCAAGCCCCAAGTCATCTACGTGTCAGTGGTCTTTCTGACAGTGATCGCCTACATCTTGGCCACACCATTTACTTTCATCCCACGCCCGAGTGGCAATGGTGTCATAGCCCGAGTATGCCGCTTTCTCAATCCGGCCGATTTCAATTCCAAAGAGCACGCATTCATGGTGATTATGGGCTCTGCTGGCTCAACATCTGCAGTAGCAACGCAGATCATTGCCGCCCAGCGACTTTATTACGGATCAAATCCGAACCAAGGTGCTGCCATTTTTCTGGTCATCGCCTCGCAATTCCTTTCATACGGTATCGCGGGTCTGCTTCGTACCGTCCTGGTTCAGCCAGCCAAGATGCTCTGGCCGATCAATATCCCCGTCAATACCTTGTTGGAGACGTTACACCGCGACAAAGTTGAGACCAAGCAACGCTTAAGATACTTCAGCATCTTCTTTAGCGGTGCCTTTTTCTGGGAGATCATTCCACTGTGGATCGCACCCATTTTCCAAGGCATTTCGATTCCTTGCTTGGCTCATCAAGATAGCCTTGTGTTTACCAACCTCTTTGGCGGAGCGCAGAACAACGAAGGCCTTGGTTTCCTCGGACTTTGCTTTGATTGGAACTACATTGCTGGACTGAACTCGCCTCTTTGGTATCCTCTCTATACACTGGTCAACAGTTTTACGGGATATTTGATCTGCATCATGTTATTCATGGGCGTTTACTACGGCAACGTGTGGCAGTCAATGGACTTCCCATTCTTGTCTCAGCTGCTATACGACGGATCGTCCAACTCAACCAACTTTGTCGAGTACAACCTCACGGCTGTTCTCAACAGTGACAACACCATCAATAGCACGCTTGTTGCCGATCAAGGATTTCCCTCTCTGTCTGGCACATATGTGGTTTATCTAATCACAACCAATCTTGGAATCACTGCTGCCATCGTTCATATGCTGCTCTGGAATTATAGCGACATCAAAGAGGGCTGGGCGTTTTTGCGACCGTCTAAGTTGCGAAAACTCCTCAGCCCTTCAACTTATATGTTCTGGCGGAGGAATAACGCTGAATACGAAGAAAATCGGCGGCAGCTGGCAATCGCCAACGATGAAGTGGATCCTCACTACAAGTTGATGATGCAGAACGGCTATGCTGAGGTACCGAACTGGTGGTATGGAATCGTTCTTGTGCTATCATTTGTCATCGGCATAGCGACCCTGTACTCGATCAAGTCAACCCTGCCTTGGTGGGCTTTTATTGTGTCCAACATTTTTGCCGCACTCTTTATCCTCTTCTTTGGCGCGCAGATGGGCCTCACGGGATTCCAGTTCAACCAGCAGCCCGTCATTCAGATGCTGGGCGGCTATCTATTGCCTGGAAAGCCCCTGGCCAACATGTACTTCACTGTGTTTGGATTCAATGGCATTCAACAAGGTCAGTGGCTGCTGCGTGATCTGAAGCTGGCCCAGTTGGCGCATTTACCGCCCAAAGCAACCTTTACAGCCCAAATGCTGGGCACAATCATCGGGGCCATCATGGACTATGTGATGATGGTCAGCATTGTGGACAACCAGACAGAAACCCTACTGTCTATTGACGGTACCAACATTTGGTCTGGCCAAAATGTACAGGGGTATAATACCCTGGCGGTAGCTTGGTCACTTGCCAAGAACATGTTTTCGGTGGGCAGCCAATACCAATGGGTCACCTTGTCGTATTTGATCGGATTTGCAGCGCCTATTCCATTCTGGCTGGCTTGGAAACTCACAAAGTTTGAGTTTTTCCGCGATATCAATACCTCCATCATCATTTGGTACTCTGGCGTGCTTTGCGTCGGCGTCAACTCATCACTCCTCATGTTCTTCGGCCTTGGAATATTTGCCCAGTTCTACCTCCGCCGCTTCCATCCCGGTCTTTTCATTAAATACAACTACCTGATCTCTGCTGCCCTGGATGGTGGTACGCAAGTGATGGTATTCATCCTCAGCTTCGCCGTTTTGGGTGCTAGCGGAACACAACACAATTTCCCCACATATGCGCTCAATAATGGTGGAACAAACAATAACAAAAACATCGACTACTGTATGTTTAATGCCGCCGATGGTGCTTGATGCTGCGGTAGTATTGAGTTTGAGAAGCTGTGTAGGTAGTGATCAGCAGGATCTTTTAGGCGACGTGGATGAGATAGTGCGACAGAGTTAATCATATTTCGTTACTATGGACTAATCAAGATAACAAACAATGGCGTGTTCTTCATGCTTGATACTTTGAACTTTTCTGTGCATTTAGTAACGAAATCGCGAGTAGCAGTTCCAGAAATATGTGACGGGCAGAAGTTTTGAGATGACGAAGAGAACATCCAAAGTAGCGATTCACCAGCGCCTAAGAAATGCATTCATTGGATGGATTGGATCATTTCATTTGCTCTCACTACGTAACAAATAATAGGATAAAGAAGTGGAGAAGCTACATAGGGAAAAAGTTCAAATCTCTCGATCATGTTATAGTGCAATACAGCAGCAGAAACGTCGCTCTATAGATATATAGTACTTTACTCTTTCAATGCCTTATCGAAAACGTCTTGCGCCTTCTCGTATTTCTTCCCGTTCATCCAAAATCCGGTGACCAGCGGCTCCCGCATTTGAATGCGCCCATTTTTATCTTGTTTACCCAATTGGCTGACCCACGTCCAGTACAGCTTATCCTTCCAACCGTTCTCATACCAGCTATTCAAATCTCCTTGAGGAGCATCGTTTAGTGTTGGCAACACTGGCTTACCGTTATCTTCAGCCAATAGGCTCAGATCATGACATAGCGCAATAAACACATTTTCGGCTTCATCAAACCCCTCTTTTATTGTATCTGCAGTCTTTTGACCGAGTACCGGATCTTGAAACGTGGATAGCTGTCCAGCAGCGATACCGTACCATGGGTTTACGCGAGCTTCTTCGAGCAACTCAGCTGCAACAAGTGGCGACTGCTGATATTTCGGATGGCGTTTTAATAGCGACCCCGGATGTTGGACATCCGAAACTCCAATTGTAGAATTTGGAAGATGAGGGTGAGGAAATGGGTGCGAAACGTTTGGTCTCAAGACACCGCAAAAGTGACAGGCATCCCCAGCTAGGAGAATAAAAGTATCCTTTCCGTTTCCAGCGTTTGAACTTGTAGTTCTGGCGAGAGCGCTCAAGTGGCCATGATCGTGGCCGGGAGTATCCAGAAGGTAGAAAGACCCATCGTCATAAAAGTCAAGGGCACGAAATCCCCCAATCTTCAGCGTGGAGTTGCTGAAGTCAATCTCATTATTTCGACGGCCGGCGAAATCGGATGAGAGAAAGACTGCTTCTTCCTTTCCTGTGACTTCCGGTTTCATAGCCGCCATCTCTTTCCCGTAGTTCAAAATAGTATTGGGTGGGAAGAGCGATACGTCCCCTCGGTGATCCAAATGGGAATGACTCCAGATCACATCGTTGATAGCGTCCAACGGTACACCGCTCTCTTTCAAGACTTCCGGAACGTCTTTGTCAACCTTGACTCCAATACAGAAAGCCAGTGGATCTCGAACTTTGGGTGGTAGATTCCACCAGTCTTTCCGAACGCCCAAGTCAAAGACGGCTTTTTTCCCGAGGTTTTTGTTTTCAATCAGGAATGCCGTATCTGGTCCATTAAAAACTTCATGGCCTTCAGCCACTGGTTCAAAGAAAAGAGCCGAGGGTATGCTCATTTGTCCGAGGTCTTTGATAAGCCGAACGCGAACAGTATTTGTTGACGGGGGCGCCGCAAGCCATCGTTGCTGAGAAGCCATATTGAGTTTAATGAAGTACTTAGAAAGAGGTTCCCATAGATGTAGTATAGAAACAGCACTGGAACTGGGCAATTTGTAGTGACAAGTTGAATCGTATCTATGATTGGCGACCGGCGACTTTAAATATACCTGCTCTGTGTTCTTAATTTGGCGCTTGTAAGTCACTCACAAACAAACTTGGTCAATTATTTTGTAATACACGTTTGTAAGCCGCCTGACAAGAATTTCACTGCTGCAGTTGGAAGATGTCCATTCCCACTCGTACGCTGTGCAGCCACAGTAACCAATTGCCGGCAAAGCATTAGTTTTTGAGCGGGGTTCGGTGTTTCGAACACTGGCTTATCATCTTCAACAGTGGTCAGAACAATAAATGTGGTCAGCTAATATGGATCAAATAGTCAGTCAGCCTTGTATATTTAACCTCCTATCCTGTATTCAATCCCATACCAATATATGTTTCATTTGAGACGCATACAGTAATGAGCACCTTGAAGTTTAGCTTTTCTTCAAACTATGTGGCATTGTATACGCTGGAGCCTCTTGTGCCTTTACATCTAAGAATCTATAGCACGTAAATTTGGCTCCTAGTCATAGCCGTTACAGTGGACATGAGAACTGTAAAAGATACCAACGGGTATGGCTATTTCACAATTAGAATACGGTCAAACGTTGAGAGACAAAAGAGAAGAGAAGAATAGAAAGAGCCAAGATGATATGTATCTTCTATGTTTATAAGCTGCGCGATATAACGTGCTAGATTCCATCATTGCCAGTGAAAAATCACCTAAGTATTTAGCCAAGCAACTAGAACTACGTAGAATATGTAAGGCTATATCAACTGAGCCCCTGCCTCTGTGGTATTCGCAGTAGAAGAGGTGCTTCGCCTCTAGAGACTCTCCAAAAATTGGTCTCTTCCAGAATGTCGTCCGCGATTACCCACCACCATCTATTAACAAATTCCTCTTTCATCTCCCAGCCCCTACGATCCCAGGGGGTCTTTCCCCACACCCTCAGCTTTCCGGATATCATGTCATTCCAGATTTCTATGGGCTGAACGATATCGCCGGCACGAAGGAGATTGTCTCTAAATTGCGGAAATGGCAGGAAATCAATGTAGGGCAAATGAGGTTTGCTTTCTTGAAGCACTGTTGGTGTGAGTGCAGGCGGAGTAAGTACGGTAGGCTGAATATGAATAGCAGGAATAAGTTTGCTGCAATCGATAGCAAGAATATACTTATTTGTTAACAAAGCTGCCAGTGTCAACATTCCTGGTATATTAAGAGTTAGATCGTTTGTGAGTGACGGCAGCGGTATCAAGTTTCCGCTTCCATCCTTTTGAGCACTTGAATCCATTAATCACCGGACCCAAAACAGAAGAATGAACTTTATTTTCAAGATGGGAAGACGTACAAAAGCGGCTCATCTTTAAGCCTTTCCAGAAAACTACAATCTGGAACAGTCGATGCTAATCGCTGTAGGAACGCAGAAGCAGAAAGATGCGAAAAGTCTGAGTTAGATGATACTTTTATCGGCTCTGAGTTCTTTTCTCCTGGGTGCTCGACATCAGGACTGTTGGTCCTTGAAGGCGACTTGACTTCATTTGATGCTGAAGATGGTATCGCTCTTGATCTTTTTCGCCGCCCATATTTTGCTCCTAGACGCGTGTATTAGTCAAGAAGCTAGCATCTATTAGACGATATCATGGTATACGAACGATGGGCCCTTTGAGCAAGCCTATTTTGTATCCGTTTCCTTTCGGCTTTATTGGTGATGTGTGTCCAATCGTCATCGACCGTTGATTTGATAAATCGCCTCCATTGGCTCGGCATCCTGTTACTTGGCTGTGATGGCGAATATATTATATATATATTCTATCTTGTGTACGAAAGCCGCTCAATTTTCTGACCGCGGTTAGCTGCTTAGTATTGAGAAGTTAGATGAGAGGAGCAGCAGCCATGGCAGCCGAGTTTTGGGCGCGACGGCGTATCCTAACATTTCTAATGGTCAGAAAGTCGTGGTCAGAAAATGGGGATTACCTAAGTCAGTCAGATTGATTACAAAATCTGCTCACTAAGTAGTATTAACAGGTAGATATTACCACATAATGGCACAGTGCTCTATGGCGCTTCTGGCTTCTAATCTAAAGCGATTCATTGCATCATGTACGTTGTGGGCCTGCATACTAATCATTTATTCTGTTCGAATGACTACCTCCTACAAAATCGCAATAATTACTTGACCGATTGAGGGGATTTATTGCATTCAAGTCCCAGAAGCGCGACCATGAAGTATTTCAACAGCGACGACCAATCATAAAGCAGTCTAGAATACATTTAAGTGCTGCGAAATACTGAAAAGATTTAGCAGAATTGTCGTATAACTGCTACAAGAGGATTAAGAGCAGGTATGTTCGATATATTATTTAGCATATTGTACTTGGCTTCGAAATACAACATCAATTTATGCAATCGTAATCCTCCGCAATAAGCCATGTATATCTTTACAGCTTCAGGCTCTCTAAATTCGCAGAACGAGCTCTATAGAGAGCACCCACTATTGCACTGATTGACAGGACGACTTCGATTCCTGACTCGCTCATCCACACTATTGAACATGGAGATCGTGAGAGGTATTAGCTGAACTGAGTATCAAGAACCATTGAAAGGATGGAAGAAGAGTTTTAATACTGGCCATTAGTTGATACAATGCATCGAGTGAGTGCTCATAGTTTCATCGGCATCAAGTTATCAGTCTCTGATGTCGCGATAGGCAAGCGACCTGGAACCTTGGTAACAGAATATTAGAGTATTACGAGCCATGCACAATAGATGAATCAAATTTGAGTCGTATAGGAAGAAAAAAAAATATTGAAGAATAACGGACTTGTACAGTAACTAATGCCCGCTCATCAAACGGTTATCTCTCCGTGGTATCATCTCTTAACTGGTTAGCGTCGTGCCTTGAAGTGATTATCTCTGAAAGGCTTTCTACATTTAGACTGACACTCAGTCACCGCTTTTTCTGCGTTAAAAATCGACCCAATGGGTCAATGAAAAATAGTAGTTTGAGAAAAGCCAAACTGTTCAGGTTAGTGAATTCTCATCTTCAATTGACAATTTCGCAAGGTATCAAAGAGCTTCCATCATGAACACACCTAGAGCAAATGCATTTCATAATGCAAGGCGGGCCTGAGGCCTCGTTACGACTGTATACTGGCACGATTTTTCTCTTTTTCCCTCTTCGAATGTATGACTCGAGTAAGGCCCCCAATGCTTCCAGAAATGGTTCTCTTTGTTTGTTCGTGTATTTTTTTTTCTCTTTACCATTGTACTAGTGTGGCAAAGATATGGGTCTAATTAATATAGTTTCCACGCACACTGACAATCTAGGCAGCTGCCAAATACAGAATAAGCTTAAAAATGTAGTCGAGCCTTAAGTTAGATGTATTCATTCTGTAATCTCAAACAACAGGCCATGAAAGCTAAGTTGGCTCAGATTGTCTCATAATCTGGATTGGAGATTCCGTCATCTGTCCGATTGAATAGAATCATTCGCATCCATCAAACCCTTGCAGTTGCTACTTTGAGAATAGGCTAGAGGCAACTCCTTATTGTGCATGGAGCCATTAGCCATTACTCCCGATCCTACAATGCAGTAGATCGACTCTCTACAGATTGTCGCCAGAACCTTTAAGAATAATTTTTAATACAGTTAAATCCAGTACAGTCTTTACCAACGTGTATATATACGCTTCATCCGCGGCCGTTACACTCAAGCTGCTTTACTACAGCCAAATCAACCGTCAACACTATCGCGCAGTTATTACATTACCAGCATATCTCGGACACACGCATTCATCATGACAGTTAACTCCCGTTTCAATGTCATCCTTGGAGCTGGCAATGTATATAACATTACCCCTACAAATCTTTAGAGTTGTTTTGCTGATGCATCTACAGCTTGGCGATCGAAGTATTGACAAGACAGTCCGTTATGATACACCGGATGAAGTAAATGCGTATCTCAACGCTTTCTACAATCGCGGCTACCGGCAGATTGATACCGCGCGCCTATACTCGACCGGCGCACCAGGCACATCGGAACCCCGACTCGGCGCTGTAGGAGCTGGCGAGAGGTTCATCATTGATACTAAAGTGCTTTCTCGAGAGCCCGGAAGTCACACGCGGGAAAAGATTGCCCAGGAGGTCGAAATATCTCTCAAAGCCTTGCAAGTTGATCAGGTCAATATTCTGTATCTGCATCAACCTGACCGAGCCACTCCTTTCGAAGAAACATGCGAAGCGATTGATGCGGCTTACAAAGAGGGAAAATTCAAGAAATTCGGGCTGTCTAACTTTACTGCCGACGAAGTTAAACAGATTCTCGAAATTTGCGAACGCCGCTCGTTTGTAAAGCCCAGTGTATACGAAGGACAGTACAATCCAGTGGTCCGAGGAGGAGAGAAGGAACTGTTCCCTCTCTTACGCAAGCACAACATTTCTTTCTACGCATGGAGGTAAGCTTTTTGTTTTATTTTACAGTCTCCTTCGGATTGTCAATGGCGAGAATGAGTAGCTAACATACGGATGCTCGGCCATAGCCCTGCAGGAGGAGGCTTCTTCGCTGGAAACCACAAGAATGCTGTATCAGGTGGCCGCTTTGACAAATCTGTGAGTCCCTCTCTTTCTCACTTTGCATCTCAAAATAGCCGCGTCGCATCTATTCTAACAGAGATAGACCTTCCTTGGAGCTGTGTACTCGGCACTGTATTTGAAGCCTGCAATCGAGGCAGCAACCGAGAACGCCCTGGCGATAGCTGCTAAGCATGGAGTCAGTGGTCACGCTGCGGCGTTAAGATGGACTGCTTACCATAGCGTCCTCGACCCCAAATATGGCGACGCGGTTATCATTGGCTCGTCTACGGTGGACCAGCTCAACTCAAACCTCGATGTGATTGAGCAAGGCCCCCTTCCAGAAGACATCGTCGAGGCTATCAACGCCGTGTATAACGAAGTGGGCCAAGAAGAGATTCCGTATCACTTCTAGACGAGTTTGTCAGCCGCTCTAATCCGAGACTCTCAGCCAGTCCTTTACAACGCTCGATTACGTGAGGTAGAACTTTGTGACTAAGCCGACGGAGATGCACACGGCAGTTCATGCGCCTGAGCTGCTTTAGGAAACTGCATGACTTGGCATTTCAATTCCAGTATAGCGCAGAGTTTCATTCCGGACTTCGCAAATAGTCTTCCTAGGATTTAAGCAATTATCATCTGAAATGCACCCTGTCCTGATCTGAAAAACTCTCTTACAGTGGGCTCTCGTGAACAATCTGCACATGGTTCCAACTGGCTTGTTTTGCCGAATTTAAATATTAGTATTCTTTGCAACAAGCGATTACAATGGCTTCGCCACAGCAGAAGCAAAGCATACATTTCATCTACCTCACAGATCCAACTAAAGATAGCGCAATATCAAGTCACAGAGCCGCAAAATCACATGCTGCGCGTCATGGCCATGCAAGGGTGCGGAGGCAGCGAATGACCGATTTCCAAAAGAAAGATCACCATGAAGGAGACAGTCAGGCACCACATGCATCCGCCTCGGGCTCAGACTCACCGGTCAGCGTTCGCCGTGCGGGACCTGCGGAAGCTTCAAGCTCGAGTCGCCGCGCGAATGAAGGTGGCCGCGAAATCATTTTATATCCTCCTCACGCATCTCAGCCGCTCGTTTTGGATAGTACACCGATGTCTTCACTCCCTAAGAACCTATACTCTGTTCATTCACTTGAGTTCAACAAGACGGAGCAATATCTTTTACACCACTGTAAGTACCCAGCTCTCGTCCAAACATCTCCTTGGCTGGTCACTTAATTGTACAATCTTAGATGTAACCTGGGTTATCCCTTTTGGCAAGCGACATTGCAGAAGATACACAAATTCTGATGTATGGAAGCGTTTCATGCTCAGGGAACTAATTCCTCTCGCGTTGTCAAACCCCGGATTACTCAGCGCCATCTTGCTCGCTGCTTGCCGTAGTCTTTTCAAGCAAGATCAAAATGATTACTATGTAGAGCTGGCTACTTTTTACAAGTTGGCTTGCTTACGGTCTATGAGTGAAATACTCGCAGCCCAAAACCGCCGGGTTGGCGATCCAGAGATTGCCCAGGCTTCGCTGCTCGCTGCAGATGAGGTGAGCTACATGCACGGCTTGTGTCATTTAGCGGATACTGAAAGTTATATCTGGCAGCTCAATATCGGGGATAGAAATACGTCAAAGCAGCACATGGATGCCGCTAAACGCATGGTTGATATGAAGGGAGGAAATAATACGCTTGGCTTGAACGGCTTTCTCAGCGCGCTGGTAGATACCTTGACCTGCGCAGTAGCGCTTCAGAACCCGATTGGTGAGTCTCCCAGTCTCTCGATCTTGTACACCGCCTATGTTGACTTCAAACTTAGATTGCCATAACTGAGAGAGAATGAACATGTAGTTATATTGAAAGGTATTCGTTCCCTACCTAGGTAGTCGCGTTGCCAAGTCGCGGAATCAGGCACTTGCATGTTAAATCTCCGAGATCCACTCTGTGATACTACAAGAAGATTATTGTTTCCTTGTTTAGCAGTACGTTTCCACTGCGTTAAAACTAGACTAGACCTATAAGATATTAAGTAGACTGAGCAATTTTGATTGAACCTCAGGGATTAACTTTTTCATCTGAAGCGATATACATCAGACTTGGCTGCTCCATTCACAGACAAGGTGTACTAGAAAGAGACCAGAAGTCGTTGCAAAATTAAAATGTTCAAGAGCGGGAAGAAAGAAAAGCTTACATATGCAACATGGTCGAAATAGGAAAGTGTCTAATAATGTATGACCCTTACTGACATGGTCGCATAAAGCGTGGATGGCAATAGTGCCAATCGGGACCAACTCGCACCCTACAGCCGGCACGTCGGCCTCCGTCCCTTTATATCTTGGATTGCATGCAACTATTGGAGGATTACCAAAAGTTCGTCGTGCTGAGCAACTTCACGCTGAATCAACTTCCCAGTATCAATTGAAATTGAATATGCCAAATGCAGCTGATGAGCATTATGCTATTACGTACTGCTATTGCCCCAAAGCAATACGGTCTGCAAAGTATCAGAGTGCGCGCGCCCTTGGGTCTCAAGCTGCCTAAAAGGGTAAGAAAACGCCCTGTAGGTTGGTTGTACTCCTGCATAGGTAGGTAGGTTAAGGTCTACTGACTCTCAATTTTCAATGAAGGAAACGCCGACGGCGAAAGCGATAACTTTGCTGCAACTACAGGAATAGGCATATGAAGAGGTTTTTTGTGTGGTGGTAGTATGATCAACTGACTATAATATCGTACCTAGGTATGTAACGTTGGACCCGTGAGTTTCGCCACACTTTTTAAACTAGCTGCCGTGTTTTTACGGGCATTGGAATCTTTGTTAGTAAACCGCCCCTCAATACAACTTGCATTCCATGCTTTTGTTTACAATCATTTTTTTTTGGTTCAATATTGTCATGATCGGCTTTCTCTATTAAATGTTTGCATTTTACGAATCGAGGGCCATCGTACTTGCAAATGAAGGTTAATCGTAAAAACGTAAAACGTATACAAAAATCTAGGGTAATCACAGTACAAGCAAGTAGATACGGAGAGCAAACTCGAATGCGTTCAACGGAGCATAATGCCCGTATAAAAATAGCACCGACCAGGTACACTTGGAGCCGCCTCGGACATGCCTTTGAGCTGACCCAACTTGTCTGCATCAGTGCGGGCGGAGTCCGAGCTCCTGCCTTTTCCATGATCGTTGCAGGGATATGTAAGAAAGGTGGCGAAGTTACGGGGATTTCTTTTACAGCCGCTCTCCACAGGTATCCCATGCGGTATATGAAGGCTGCGGAAAAAAACAAGCGCTCAGTTTAAATCCCGTCGGCATGTCTGCATCGGGGAGGAGCTGAGATCTCCGAAGACAAGGCAGCAATGTACAAATGTCGCGAGGACCCGAAACTCCACAATGACTTGCGCGCAGGGCTTGGCTGGTCAAAGTTGCGCATGAACTACAGAGGCAGGGTCATGTGGCTTGGCATCAGTGAATTCCAGATGCAGAAGTTGTACAAGTAATTTAATTTATCGAGATGTATGCATCTGAGATTAGTATTTTCCGCTGCTGCTGCATCCCCATCTAGTAGCCCAAAATCTGGAGATTCGGTAGCCCAAACGATCTTGAAATCGACACTCGATGAGCTGCCTTGTAAACAATAAAACACGATTCTAGAAATGGCCCTGGAAGACAATAGAAAATTGAGTGAAACCTCTAGCTAAATTGTCGGGCAGACAAATCAGTAAGCACTTTACAACCTCGTGCCAGGCCGTAGCACTCGTGCTCAGTAATCTCTGAGTTCCAACTTTCACGTACCGAGTAATTTCAGTGTCGATCACCATCGTATCTCTGTTAGTAACTTGCTCGTACCTAACATCGCCAAATCTTACTCGTACAGTACGAGAAGAGAGTGTATTATTGGCTACTTTTCCCAAGAATTTGTGATTGAAAGTGCTGGAATTGGCAAACTGAAACTCGGCGTGTCCTCGCAAAGCGAAGGCTTAGATGCCATTACCTGCCAATTAGGGCTACCCTCTTGCAGCGCTAAGTGGGATTAGGCCGTAGAATGTGCCGAGGCTGAGCTAAGACTGCGTGTCCCTGACTACCAGAGCCTCTTCATATGCCCTAACTTCACTATATACTCCGCCAATGGGGGCGGTTCGGGGCAGCTGTTCGACCGCCTACAACCCAAATGTAGTTGACCAGGTAGGTATTGTAGGGTCTCACCACCTGGATGGACTAAATATTCCCAACTTTCTTGTAGTAGTAATATGCGGCTCGCAAATCCGGCTTCATCCGTGCAGATCTTCGCCTTATGAGACTGGCTTCCGCTTACATCTTTCTCAGCTTCATCGACCTACATGGCGCATCTCAGTACTACAACGAAAGGTAAAAAGGCGATTGTAGTATGTTTTGTAGGATATCTCTTGTTGTATTACTCCAGATCTCGGATATTGAGATCGAGATCAACTTTCTAGTGTAGTGAGCACTCGGTATACTACCGAGTTATTGGAGCTGCCTGAGCATAGCGTAGCATTTCGGAACATTTTCATCCGGCCCAAAATGGGAGGAACTCACCTTTCTAACGCTACTTGTTGTAGCTTACTATTCTCGGGCGTCCAATATATAAATGTGACTGAAATGGTAGTAGCTTCAAACCCATCTCGAAAAGAAATGGGCCTTGCACGATTGCCTAGTTTGGAAGCTTGATGATATGCCAGCCCGCTGGTAAACACCTAACTTGATTTAGAACTTACAGTTGTCGACAAACGGAAGACAAAGTAAGCCCTACAACAATGTAATTATAATCTTGAGACGAGTTTTACTGGAAGAGGAAGTTGGGATAAATCTCACTGAATAGGCATTTTTATCTTCATCAACAGCATCGTCGTGAATATATAATGAGCAGATATCTCGCTTCTTATGAATCAATCCTCATCCCTCTCACCAGAACAACATCAGCATCACCAACCATTGAACAGCATCAATCAACTGATATACCCATCCACAAACTTCAAAATCAGTCAAAATGGTCAAGACTGTATGTAGTCACTCTCTACCGCATCTTAATTCAAATTAATAACATATTTAGGCTGTTGTCGCTTCTCTCCTGCTTGGCGCTGCCATGGCCACGCCTTACCCTCCCTCTATTGGCAAGGGCCCTACCGCCCCCGTCCCTGACACCGTCGACTTCTCTCCCAAGAAGCCCAATGGTGGCAACTACATGCCTTCAAAGTCCAGCAAGACTCCGGCCTCCAAGACCGCTGATGCACCCGCGACCAACGGCGGCAAGCTCAGGGTGAGAGCCACCGGAGAGCAAGTCACTAATGGCCTTGCCCGATTCGACAACTCCAACATCCTCGATGGTGTTGGTGACGGTGTCGACCAGTACACCTTGTACTTCGGCGATGGAAGCACTGGCCAGGGCTGGCCTGATCAGAGCCGATGGGTCTCCTTCGAGAACATGTTCAACAACTACAAGAACCAGATGTTTGCTTCTTGCCAGAACTTGCAGACTCCTGAGGCTAATGACAGTGGCCCAGAAGTGGTATGTGGTTAACGCCTTGCTTGTATCGTAGCGGCAATCAGAAACTAATTGACTGTTATAGGGTGCTATCTGGGACGGTATTCAGATGGCCGCTGCAGCCACTGGTGTCGACCACCGTATGATCTTGGCTATCATTATGCAGGAGTCTCACGGCTGTGTCCGTGTCAACACTTCCAACTTTGGAGTCCGAAACCCCGGTCTTATGCAGGACCACAACGGCGCTGCCACTTGCAACGACGTCGATGGCAACGGCAACATTATTGTCCAGAACCCTTGCCCCTCAGCAACCATCTACCAGATGATCAGCGAGGGTACTGCTGGTACCAACGACGGCGATGGCATTGCCAACTGCATCAACGAGTCTGGCCGAAGTGATGTTTCGGCTTACTACCGAGCTGCTCGAATTTACAACTCGGGCTCCATTTTCGCCCAAACTGGCAACCTTCAGGATGGCATTGCTACTCACTGCTATGCTAGTGATATCGCTAACCGACTGACCGGCTGGGTCAACGCACCATCCCAGTGCAACTGCGACGACGCCGGTAACCCCTGCGGCGTTGTTACTCCTTAAGAAACGCTGACGCTTCTTTGTCCATGGTTGATACAGTTGACGTACATATTCGTTTGCTTCTTGGTACCTTATTTATCTCATATGAGTGTAAATACTTGAGATTTGTAAATAGCTTTGTTTTATGAGTACATTTGAATGAAAAGTTTGTTATCATTATACTTGACTCTGCACTTGAGAATTTGAGCACTGTGCTATTAGCTGGGACTTACACCGCGAATGAAGCCCTAGATTCCGCTTGGTTGAATAAATCTTGAGCAAATTATGGCAAGAGAAAGACTGAACTGAAGAAGGAGAGTAAATTTTGGACAATTAGCTAAGTATCGTTGCAGTCTCTGTGCGATTTTCTCCTGCAGCTTAAGACATTTTAATTTACCTAGCCTTAGCTTACTTTCGCTTTAGGGTTATAAATCTCAAACTACCAACAACAAGACCGAACGTGTGTTGTATAAAAGCTCACTGTTAACACGATAAAAGACATAGGCTAACTAGCATCGTGAACGGACCCGGCGCAGCGCTAATGAACGACAATTATGTTCATCCAAGTCTTGTGATAAAAAGAATACACATTGTGTGTACTTTGCCTAATGTAATGTTGTTAACACTATCCTGATTCGCTGATTAGAATCCTTCCGCCTTTCCATGGCTATGTATCTCCTTTATTAAGGCACTTCCCGTGGCCGACTTTGTTCATATACAGAAACATATACAGCAGCGTGATCATGCTTATGAGTTTATCGATTACTAAACAAGATATCTATTACTAAACAAGACACGCTCGTCGTATTTGCACCAAATAGTGATAGAGGCAGTCTAGATATTCGTTTAAAAGGCTGAAAAGTACTGTCAAATGGCATGTCGCAATCTATCGGTTCCCAAACAGGACGAAGCTAATGTGCTACATGACTAGAAGCAACTTTTCATTTGAAGGAGGCTTTTTTCTCGTTCTGCACTGTAAACTTCATTCTTTAGCCTTATTCTCTTAGTAAGTGATGATTAAGAAACCAGGATGGAGGCGAGTTTTGGTTTGTGGCTTTTAGCCCGCCATAGAGTAAGCGATTAATTCACATATATATCATCCTTCTGCTCTCGGAAAAAGTCTTGATGTAACGTATTAATTGGAATTTTGCATGCCAAGCCTACTTCAATTTATATATAGCGCCTATAATCCACATGCAATGCCGCAAGGTTCTTATTTTTTGCCAGAATTGGTCTGAAGTCGGATAGTTAGTCAAACCGGCGGCGATCCTTTCCAAAGTCCGATTGATCCACCTAGAGACTGCTCTAGAATATAAAACAGTCAACAGTCCTCGAGGATACATCTTCTTTTGAAGGGCACACTGCGACATTGAGATTCAGAAAATATTCTATCAAAATGCAACTCCATCTTCTTTTCACCGTCTTCGTTGGCGCTGCTTACGCCGCCACCCTTACGCCAGCTGACTGTGACTGTGTGAGTAGATTGAATAGATCTCCAAGTCATTGTGTGATGCTCGTGGGGAAAGTGCTAACTTGAGCGAGTAGTTCACCGTTTGCGACGTAAGATAACGAGCTACGATAGTCTGAGCGTAGTAACAATGTCTAACAACTTTGCTTAGAGCGACCTCCACGACGACGGCAACTGCTACAATTCCAACATTGGGTGCGGAACATTTGAGGAGCCCACCTGCTGCGAAATCTGCGGGTGCAACTGCCCTGTAAGGCTAATCATTAAATCCTTGGTTGCTGTAATACTAACAAAACCTCTCCAATTAGTAAAATAAATCCAGTTGGTCGGCAAATGTGGCGGCTTAAAGAAATCCAGGGATGTGATTTGGCGGCATTACAACAAGCAATTAGCTTCCAAGTGGGCCATAGAAGGCTAAATTATAGCATAATATAAGCATTTAAAATGCACCTTGAATGCTATGCTTGATATAGACATCACATTGAGAATGCAATTGATGCCGACACTGGCGGTGAAGGAGGCCATTGAATCTAGTAGTGGTCATACTTATACGTCACTTGGCTTCGCATATTTATTAAAGTACCTATACTAGAACGCATGCATGCTCCCCGCCCAAAGAAATGCCAGCAGTTCTTTAAACCAGAAGGAAATGTAATTTGCCGGGTAATCATGGAGGCACGAATATCATGTTTCGCAGCAACCGGTCGGTATGGTGCTAATGAGTGACGATTGCAGCGGAAGTCGGCCGACGCGCCGGACTTTGGAAGGAAAACGCAAGACAAATGTCAACATCGGCATAATGAACAAGTTTTGCCTGAGCAAGAATATCGACAAAACAGAAATTTTTACGACAATCCTGTATCGATTAGGAAAGAAATGCTAAATATAGAAGCAAAGCTTGAAGAGGCAAAATGAATACATACGCTCAGTGAAACAGCATTACGAGCGGCTTACCGAGCTGGCTAGGCGCTATTTTGATGAGCGCTATATCCGCCATTTGCAGATCCTTTGCCCAATCTCTACCATTCTATCCACATATAGCGCTCTCATGTTCCCTTATACGCAAGATATAGGAGTCGAGTGATAGCCATATTGCTATAATTAAAGATTCACTGGAAACTAGAATCTTTACTGCCTCTTTGGCGTGTTAGACTTCTCCACTGAGCATTCAATCTCTTCTCACATTTGGCTGTGAAACGCCCGGATTTCAAGTGGTGTAAGTAATGGCACTTTATCAGGCCTCCATCTAATTCCTTGTGAATCTTATTGGAGGGCCTGATTTACTCCGACATCGTCTCGGCTAATGTTGATGCTGCTGCCAAGATTTGTTTAGTGGGGGAGCCTTCTAATCAAGCGAGGAGTAGTATCATTCGGTGCCCAATGGACCGAGCATTGATCTCGCTTATTTATTGTAGTCCACAAGTATGTCAACTCTGACTTATCCTTGGTTAGGCCTCCTAGGAACCAATGTCCAGGAATTTGCCCATCTTTCAGTCGATTTGATGGTCAAAAATCGACGTTTTGCTCACATCGGGTTGATGATCTATTCGGTCGTTTAAATTATACGTTCTAATCAAACGAAAACAATCCTTGTCCATCTGGTAGTTCGAATTCTGTCACGGACTCTCAAAGTGGAGATGAGTAGCTTGTTTTGTTTAAACCAAATGCGCTAACAGTGTCCGGTTTCTCCTACATGATGCTTAAATGGTGCACCGATATACTAATGCTCGTAACTCATTCTCACAATAAAACACATAGTGTGATCTGATAAACAAACTAGTTGGTGAACGTATAGTGAATCTCCTTACATGGAGATCCAATGCCATTAAGATTTTGAACGATTCCACTCCGCTGTAGGGGATCAAAAATAGTATGTAAAAAACATAAAAAAATATATGTTGTGTTTTTAAGATAAGCCATTCGAATGCTCTAACCCTTTTAGAATAAAGACCTACAATAGATACTGTCAGTCCAGTCTATAGGAACACCGTTGCGCTGACTGGTCATAATTTACTTCACTCAATTCCATGATTGTGGTGATCTACTGCATTCGACCTCATAACTCCACATGTCAATCTGGATTGGTTATATGAATCAGACCTGGTTGGAATATTGATTAACGCGACAAATACATTCTTTACTGTTGCCTCGCATTGGTCAATACAAAGTGAGTATTAGTCTGATGATACATTTTCTATGCCAAGCATGATTGATGGAACCACTGCGTACCTGTACTATTTGGATTAAGAAGTTACAACGGAAACAATGAGTGAGAATAGTATCGTCTATCATTAGAATCGCCACTTTCTGCTTATAAGTAGATAGATACTGATGTACGAAATCATGATCGCCGTGTATCTTCTGATATGTTGTCTATCCTTCTTTAGTATCGCTCGTCACTGTTTTTGACATGATCGAGTGCGTGATACGTGAAGTAGCGTCTTTGGTATTAAAAAATATATCGTAATTGTATTTGCAGACGGGCTCCATTGAGAGGAGTCGTTGATAGCGTTGCTCACTTTCTGCTACTGAAGCGCTGTACCCCATAATAAGCCTTGGTATAAGTGGGCTAGTGTGGGACATGCTCCGGAAAGATTCCCAGAAAAGGAAAACCGTGCCAGATATTTCGATATCGCACGGTCGTCGTAGATCCAGAATTGTACTCGTTGGAGCTGAAGTATCTCAATGCTGTGAATATGAGCTTGGTTTTATGGGATTAAGGCATCTAAATCCGAAGATAACGGACTTAGCTATTTCAATGAACAGCGAGAAAGAAGGAAAAAGATAGCGTAGCGAAGACTCTGGATTTTGGAAACAAGTATATAAAGCATCTTGATTTGCTGTGGAGTGGCAGTCTTCTCACAACTACATCCACAACAACAAACACATCTACACAGCGATTATCATATAAACATGCCAGCTACATTCTCTACCCCCAAAAAGCCATTGACATGGTTGATCACCGGATGTTCATCCGGCTTTGGGCTATCTTTAGCCCGCGTCGTTCAAGCAAACGGACACCACTTGATTGCCTCTTCTCGCAATCCTTCCAGCACACCCGATCTTGTTTCTGAAATAGAAAGCAAAGGCGGTAAATGGATACAGTTGGATGTTAACGCATTTGACTGCGATAAAGTATTAGAAGAGCTAGAACAGCATGGACAGCCCGTGGATGTTCTCGTCAACAACGCTGGATATTGTATCTACAATCCCGTTGAATGCTTCACGGACAGTGAAGTTCGCGCATTAATGGAGACGCTATACTTTGGCCCAAGCCGCCTCATTCGAACTGCGGTTAAGCATATGCGCCAGCGGCGATTTGGCATCATTGTCAACATGAGCAGCGGCGCAGCGCTGGAGTCGAATCCTTCCATGGGTGCTTATGCGGCCGGCAAAGGCGCATTAGACTGTATGTCAAGTCGTTCAGTTTTCTACTAAAATCTAGAGGAAAATGTTGATAGGCGTATAGCTATGTCCAAAGCGCTTGCAAAAGAAGTCGAGGCGTTCAATGTTCGAGTGTTGACCGTGCTTCTTGGGACTTTCAATACCGGCATGGGCAACGCTACGGTGCTGGGTGAAAATCCACCACCAGCGGACTATAAAGGATCATTGTCGGAAAAGATAATGGACATGATGTCTACGGGGAAATTCGCGCCAAATGGAGATAAAGATAAAGCTATGAAAGCTGTATATGAGGTTGTAGTAGGAGAAGGCGTTGGTAAAGGTCACGAAGCAGAAACGGCGCTTCCCTTAGGCCAGGATTTGGCCGCCAGGATCAATGTTGTCCAAGGGTATCTAGCTCATGCTTTGGATGTATTTGGAAGTGTTTGTAACAATGTTTACCTGGAAAAGAACTGAGCTTGGAGGCATACAGACAAGTTTCCATATCCTCAATGCCTCATTGTTACGATAGGCCCATCCAATACAATTGAATTCCAATCGAAAGCCAGCATATCTTATACATATTGTGAACAGTTTTTGATGATCACATGAAGGATCAAGCAACGAGCGTAGAGGCAATTCACTGTCTTGCTAGTGAGTAATACTCTTTGTACCAATAGCCAGGCTTGCCGGATTAGTTCTAACAATATACAACGCCGCATGATGTACAAATACGTGTCGTGCTTTGATGTTTACGCTCATTTACGCCGGCTTCGCTAGAACTCTCGAAGATATTTGCTTTACTCAGCATAATGTATTTTGACTATATTATCTCGCTAATAACAAGAGGCTATCTTTCGCGACGAGAATTTAAGCCTTCTGTTTCTCAAGGAAGGCCTTGGTCCTGGATACCACATTTTCCTCATTCCAGATACTGTTCACGCTGGGATGCTCAATTACGGCGGTAGCCCACTTATAAAAGTTGGGAGTTTTAGTAGGCAAGTCTTTGATCAAGCTCTCTGGTCCAACGCCGTTCTTCGGCAGAGCCAGTAGTCTCAGAATAAACGAGCCAGTAAGGACCTGTTCCAGAGTTAGTACTATACTATAACATCTTCCATCTTCATGCAACATACTTCGGCTAGTGTCAATGTTTTGCTGCCTCCAAAATACGGAGCCGCGTCACTCAACAGAGGTTCAACTTCTTTCTCAAGCTGCTTGACAAATTCCTGGGCGGCCGCTTCAGCCTCTTCATTTGTTTTGGCAAAGAGAGCTTTGTGGTATTGAGAGTTTGCCTTGGTGAAATATATGTCGACAAAGAAATTGATTCGGGCGCGAGCAAGAGCTGCTTCTGGCGTGCCACCAGTGGGGACCAAATGCGATGGATGAGCATCAGCGAGAAATTGGGCGACAATCCCAGATTCGGTAATGATCTGGCCGTTATACGAAAGGCTAGGAACAAGACCGCGGGGATTGACAGCCAGGTATTCTGGTGTACGAGGAGTGCTCAGGTCAATGATTTCTTCTTCAAATGGCAACTTCAGCTCATTCAATGCAATATGAGCCCGGTGAGCCCCTGTCATTCCATATTAGCGCAATTACGCACACATGCATGTTATCAAGCAAGCAACCTACAAGGGCAGCCATGATTGGTATAAAGCTTGATAGCTGCAGTCATTTCGTGCGAAAAGTGCTAGGTAGCTGTATGCAGGTTATTCGCTCAATGTATAAACTTAAAAAAGACAAGACTACTATCTCGTGTAATGTTGAAAGAAAAGAAGAATCCGTCCTCTTTATAGGCAGCTAATGCGTGATCGATGCACACCCTGATGCAATTTCCCGCTTTTGATGCTTTATAATACGCTCGAATACCCCGCACAGGCAGCTGAGTGGCTGATGTTCAGATAAAGCTTCAGACTTGAAAGCACATACATGTCTGGAGCTTTCTTTTTTAGGTAAGCAGATTTGAGTTGCCTATCGTTTATAGTTGCGCAATTATTCGGAATGAGTATTACTCAATAATTGGGGGGATAAAATGATTCATGAGTTTCTGCGTTGTATCTATTCGTATTAAATAAGTCAAATTTCGTTTTCGCAGCCTGCTAATATTGATCGCTATGATGAGAAGATATTCGTCATTCTCCTAAGTACTTCTTGTTTTAAGGCCTTATATTCCGCTAAAGTCCTCGTCACAGCGTCTTTATTTTCGTTCGCGCGCCGTAAGAGGTAAAAGATGCAGTCATTTAGCGTACCCCATGTAAGGCATTTGTATACTTCAGTAGCCGCGAATCGCTTGCCTGAGGTATCTTCCCTGTTCGTTTGAAGCAGTGTCAAGCTTACTTCATCTGCCATTCCCAGTAATTGACCATATTGAATTCGAATGAGAGGCAATTGGGCATGCATTCGGGAGTTTTGCAGCTTCTGTGCCTTGAGAGTACTTGGGAGGTTATGAGTTGCAAGAAATAGCTCTAGTTTCGGAGAATTGAAGGCCTCGTCTTGTGTCCAATCCGCATATTGACCTCGAATAAGTCCCTCGGCAATACTGTCGTAAGATATGTCTGTCTCTTCTTTTGTATTGTGTATGAGATGACGAGGCTCCGTGCTCATATAAGCGCCGCGGACCAATTTGATGCCCATAACGAATTCTTCTTCCCTCGCCTTATGCAAATGATCAAGAAGGATTCGTGGCGTTGACTTTAAATAGCCTTGGTAGGTGTTGAATACGACAGCTACGCCACTTCGGTTATAACGGCGCATCAGATTTAAAGCAACTTTGTCTATGCCCGGCTGAACGTGGTGCTGCTCTGCATCCACAAACACGTTTACATGGCGACTAATCGCTTCATTGCAGACATCGAGCAGAGCGCTCTCCATCTGTTCAGGAAGAGGTTTTCCAGAAGAAAGAGCAGTGGTTACTGCTTCCCCCGCTCCAGTTAATCTGCTCCGCCAAAGTTGTCAGGATACAATACGCACTCGCAGTAACAGACCATGAAGGGGAAAAACCGTACTTTAGTGCTAAAAAGTCGCCGTCGCCGATCATCCTGATGGTTTGTAATACACCTTGATGCCAAGCCATAATTTCATTGTCAACACCTTGTGACTCGTCATTAAGCGAATCCTTCTCACTAGAAGACTTTCCTGAGGTTTCCTTAGCGTAAGTCAAAATTACGCCGCGGAATCCCATATTCTTTATGTTGTTGATCGTGGCTTTGACTTCGCTGGCATTTTCTCCTGCGCAGAAATGGTTGTACAGAAGGTTTTTCAGCATAGTATGCAAGAAAGGGTTTCTCTCAATGTTGAAAAGAGGGCTGCGTGGTTTAGACAGAAAGTTCAAGATGGACAGTCCGGGAGTAAGCAGCAACGGGTGGCTAGTAACCCCGGCCACCAACAGAGACCTGATGAGCATCCTAGACGGGAGAAGAGAATGTGGTGGCAACATCTTTACAGCTGGCCGATAACCGAGCGAAGATCTAGATACAAAGCCCCGTGCTAAAGAGACGAAGACATCTCCCCATGAGGTACGTCTAGATACTGCCGTCGATATGGTCAGTTCTCTGTATCTGTTTGCTGTGCAATAGTTAGGATTTACCCCGCAAGCTCAGTGAGAATGCTGTATTGCGAGTGTTAGGTAATCCATACCCGCACTGATATTAAGCGACTGCTAGCGACTATATTATGAGCTAGGAAATAGACCAGCGGCCAAGTTGGTTGTGACTGCTAATTTGGTAATCTATCCAATTGGTATTTTCATGTATTAGACAGCTAGAACTGCATGGCAGAGAATGCCTCTTTAGTATCTATGAGCCCCGAGGTTATTCCTAGATCGTCTCGTGTTATGAGGCCCTCGTTTTGCAACCTAGCCGTTTTAGCCCACTCAAAGAATTGCATCATGATACCAATTTCCTCTGCCCATCCTGGCCATATCTTGTTAAACTCTGATGGCTTCAGCTCGATATACTCTGCTTTTTTTCCCTGACTTTTAGCCCACTGCTGTAGCATTTCCCCACAGGTAATGTTTTCCGTGTGAGCCAGTACATACTTTCCAGGCAAAGTCTTCTGTGGCTGCTCGATGATAGCTTTGATGAAGATTCCAATGTTGTTTTTAGCATCACCAATTGGACGCAGAAGAGTATCGGCTGGATACCCGTTCAGCTGAACGTATTTGTCAGCCGTCGGAATAAAAATCGGCCTGTGTGTTTGCCAGTAGAAGTTTGCTGCGTAGTAACCGATAATCACAAACGTAGTTTTAGCAAGTAACTCTGGCTGCGACAAAATAAAGCGATCGGCGATATTCTTGCTTTCGAAATGAGGAACTAAAAACTGTCCTGAACTTTGAGTTTTTGCATCAGGCAGGGTTGACCAAACATAGTGTTCGAGAGTTCGCGTTGCGGCGGCCGCTTTTGCGAGGTTGAGGGCTTGGCGAGACTCAATCTCCATAGCCTCAAAAGCGCCATGTGAAGCAAAAAGACCAAAGAAATCGGTTACGCCGAATATAATTGCTGATCCTTCGAATGCATCAGTCAAAGACAAGGCATCATCCGTTGTAGCCTGAACAACTTCAACGCCTCTAGCGGTAAGAGCTTTGGCCGGTTGGCTTTCGACATTCCTGGTGACGGCACGGATGTGATATCTATCATCGTTGAGGAGTGCATCAATAATAGATCCTCCTTGGACACCAGTAGCACCAACAACTGTTACTATTTTCCTCGCCATGGCTTCAGCTTAAAAGAGTCTTTAAACAAGTATGTAGAATTTGCACTTCAATATGAAAAGAAGTAATGATATTTGCTTGTAGCTTCGGTCAAATGTAACCTTTATATAGTTGCCGGTTGGTGATTATCTTCTATACCCGTACACATGAGTTACGCTAGCCTCAGCGATTAATAAACACGACTGGCAACTATGCAGTGGTTAAGAATGAAAAATACACTATGAACAAAGCTGTTTATTAATCAAGACTATCAAACAAAAGAAATGAAGCAAGTAATGTCAAGTCTTTACGGCTAGATCACGATAACCTCATCCAGATAGCGATATGCTACTAAGAAAGTCTTAGCGTGGCCCAGAGTCGGGTATTGTCGCCGCTTTCGGCAAAATAGAAAGATTGTCTTAGGACATGCTCTTAATCAATATATAGACTTGCCAGAGAGGGGGGGGGGGGGGGGGGTTGCAAAGGCGATTTGTAATTTATGCAAAGCCTGAGCCTTACCTAGGGCGTCATCATCAAAGCTATCACCCCGATGCAGATGTTGACTAGACTGATCATATGCTTGCCATCGGTCAACATGAATAAAACCTTTAGGCAAGTTGGAAAACAACCGGAGATACGCTTGGAAGAATGCCAAAGTACTCAAGGTAAATGAGATTGGTTCAAGGTGCTTCGCGTGCAAGACATTGTAACTCTAAAGATCAACAAACTTATTTTTCAAGTCAAATATACATCGTTAAATGATAGCTGGATACAGATGATGAAGAAATAATATGCTGGTATTGATGTTTTTTCCCCTCTTTTTGAGGAGCATTGTCAGCTACGGTGGTCAAATTGATGAAAGAGTATTGGATGTGCTCTATTATCTTCTCCATAGTGTCAACTAGTTGAACCAAACGTTATTGAGCAGCCAGAGCACTCCTGCCCACTGTTCCTGGACAACAGGCCAAATATTTGCTGGAGGCAGGACAAAGCCACCTTGGCCAGACGTCACTGGGTCTAGCTCTAGAGTCCAGGAGTGATCCGCGCCATACGCGCCGTAGTGGTGGTCACGGCCATTACCAGCCGAGTAATACTCAATATCACAGCCTGCTCCATACTGGTATGTTTCATTGCGGCTGTCAAATCCTTGTACGGCATTGGCAAAACCCTCTGCAACCTCAAGCATACGAGGAAGCGTAGCTGGGTACTGAGAGGTGTTGCATGTCCACCCTGGTGGGGTCAGAATCTTTTGGCCATAGCTGTGAAGATCGATATATGAGCGAATTCCCTTCCGTGATGCTCCAAGTTTGTCCGAGAGGCCTGATAATACGATATTTTCAGGAGTATCACCTGGGCTCAGACCCTGGAAAGTCTCATCGCATGGGTCTGTAGATGCGGCTCCCGTGCCTGGTTCACCACCCCACTCGAACTTCCAATTGCGGTTGAGATCTGTTCCAACGCAGGTGGTATTGCTGCGAGGCAGGCGATTCTTCCTCCACATGCGATCAGTAGTTTGAGTATAATAGAAGCCTGCGTGTGGTATTAGCATTTGATAAGTGGCTATCAACTCAAGACTCTACTTACCATCGGGATTGTGGAATGGAACCAGCCAGAAGTCATAGTAGTCGAGAATTCTCGTAATATCTGGGTTCCTTGACCTGTGTCCGTTGATGAGCTGCCACGCCCAGTATTCGATGACCTGAAAACCTCCCATTAGATTTGATAGAACTTGTAGTATGTGGGGCAACTATACCGATGTTGTAATCCATTCTCTTGCGTGGACCGTGGAATGCCACAAAATGATGGGCTTATCTCCCTTGATGCCCTTATCGCCAAAGAAGTGGAAAGCGTAGATGGTGCGATTTTCGTACGAAGAACCAATATCATACTTTTTAGAATTCTTTGGGAAAGCAGCCACTAGGTCATCCCAGTACTGGAGATGGTCGTCATATGCATGGTATGAATCATACCAGCTCAAATCCGGAAGCTCGCCAGCTTTGTGTAGCGAGCGCTTGTAAGTTGGCGTCTTGCTTTCATCCCGAATTTGCGATCCAATGTCATCACTCAGCAAACGAGCATTGAGGCCCAGCTCGTTGAAACTGCGGACCTCATTGGGCGGAATAATGACCTCAAACCCACGAGAAGTAACCTCCGTATGGTACGTGGCAAATCGTTTCGTGAGGAATTCGGCTTCCTTCTGGTCCGCAGCTCTTATTCTGTAAAGATGATGTCCATCGTAGCTGACTTTAGCCGAACGAGGACTTGATGAGTCTGTTTCTAGAGAACGCGATGCCACCAGTGGCGCCAGGAGAGCCAGAGTTGCTAGGAGCTTCATGATTCCGGCCACCGTCTACGTGATGCGACGGTTCCTTTTCCGGGTGCAGCGGCTGAGATGGAGAGATTATGAACAAGCAGATGAGGCTTCATCTTTATACTCATACGTTTCCAATGTATACTATTATTTACGAAAAGAAAAGTCGGCCGACAATTGTACCGAGATAGTGAATACTATCACTGAAGGTAAAACTTGCAAGATGCGATGAGTGAAAAAGAAATGGTGGGAAATATTGGTATTATCACGCAATCTGCTGTCTCCTCATTGAGTGATATTTCGCTCCATTTACGCAATTTATCATCCACCGCATTGCCAGGGGTATGGTATAGATAGCATTGAGCTTTTTACACGACGGTAGTTTTCCTATAGGTCTTTACCATTATTAAGATTAGTATCCGCGATTTTACAATGGGAAAAGGCGGCTGTTTGTTTCCACGAATTGTTTTATAGAATCCTGGACTTGTCTGCTCGCTTATTCCCAAACCAGTTTTCCGTTCAGTATTGCCCCAATGGCCTTTCAACGTAGTTGCACCTGTTTATCCGTCCTTCCTTATTCTGTGGATAAATGGTCTATGGTTCATGCTGAATTCAGCCGGGTTTTTGACGTAAACCACTGAGATTTACAATTCGCTTCAAATCCTTAGGCGCTAATAATGCGCTGTAGATTTTAGGCAAGTCTTCGTATTATAGATTACATATTCTCAATGCCAAAAAAAAAAAAATTGTAACATGATGCATTGATGACCCTTAGCTAGAATTCTAATGTTTCCAATGGCTTTGGAAACAGAGATAAGGGACTTCTTCTGCCATATGGGAAAGCAATTGCCACTCAACATGTTTTAGTTTTACATGCCCATAACCGAGATCGGCAATTATAAACATCTACAACCCTTGAGGCTAGACATTGCTGCTAATGTACGCGGTAGAAGCGAGCAGAATAGTAAGCATCCTAAATCCAATTGGGTATTGGGTGATTTTCCATGTTATCTTGCAACGAGTGTTTTTGAACTTCACAACAGGGGCGCTCTATCTCAACGTCATGCAGATACCAGGACAAGTCTTCGCATATACGTAAATAGCTGGGCATTACTAAATGGCTTCCCCGACTCTATCTTCTTTTGGCTCATCAGCTATTTTTCCCCGGCTATAGCACTATGCGAAACTTGAGTGCATTCTTCTGAAGAATCTCGTCCTTCTTCTTCTCGAGCTCCTCCATGTCCCAGCATACACTAATGAACCGACCAGACAACCACGCACGTCTCTCTTTAGTAAGCCAGACGAATGTATGAGCTGCCAGCTCCGGTGGATCAATCAGAGCCTTGTGCATAGACTCGGGCATGTTAAGCGCCAGTTCTGTGGGAACACTTCCAGGATGTACGTTGATAGCAATCAACCCCTGCTGGTAGTACTCGGTATCTGCAAATTCAGAGAATCGGGCGAGCGCAAACTTGGCGGTCTGGTAGCTTGAAGCGCCGGGCATGACTCTATGTCCGCCGATGCTGCTACAATTAATAATCGTCTTTGTCTGCGATTTGAGCAAAAGTGGGATGAAGAACCGATGGCACAAATATGTGCCCTTGACATTGACTTCCCATGACCTCCACCAGTCGTCAGGCTGTGTCTCAGCGATTGGAAGCCACTGCTCCAAATAGCCAGCATTGCAGATTAGAACGTCGAGGGACCCAGAAAACTTTTCAGCGACAGTTTCAGCTGCAGCTTTCACTGATTCTTCCGACGTTACATCCATTGACAAGCTCAGTACCAAAGGCTCTGGCCGACCTTCGTTAGCCGCAGCATCTTTAACGGCCTTTGTAACGTCATCAAGTCCTGAGCGCGCGGCAATTGCAATCTTAGAGCAGCCGGCAGCTGCGAAGGCTATGGCGGTGGCCTTGCCAATGCCCTTTGAGGCGCCGGCGACGAGAACAGATTTCCCAGCGAGATTGGCTTTGATGGGATCAATGACAGGATATAAGCTGCGGCGGGGCGTGATATATTCGATGAATTGCGCGGCATTAGTCTCGCGGTTGGTTTTCTCAAGGTCGGCCATATTTGATGACAGTGCGCCTTCGTACTCAGGGTCGATGATTTACTGAAGAAAGATGTGTCAATTGATGTTTAGAATTGAGTTTGTTAACTTGCAAAGAGATTCGAAGCTTTTTTATGATCATCGTATCTGGCTTCGAATTCACTCACATGCCTTATCTCCGCCCGAGCGCGCGATGTTGCAAAGTCGCAAGATTCGGATATAATGAACGCGAGCTACATCAACCCGCCTCTACGGCGCTCAAACTCGGATTTATTGGTCAATGTGACGTAATGGTCACTGACTTCCTCTCTGCAGAGTTGATCTTGCATTCGATCCTTTATAGAATTGATTATCTCCAGCTTTCAGACCCCAATTCCCCAAATTGGGGTACCACCGTAGTAAAGAGGTGAATCCTGCAAACTTGTTCATCTATTTCAGAAACCCCCAGATATTGTTCAAGCTCTCGGCTAATGACGGATGCGCCCATATAGCATTGCTCAGAGCAGGCCATTTGACTTTTCCAATCATCGCCATCTGTACCTGGCTCATGATTTCGCCTCCCTCAATCCCCAAACACGTAAATCCAAGAATCTGCTGCGACTCAGCATCGACTACCGCTTTCATCAGTCCTCTAGATTCGTCCGTCTCCAGTGCTCGAGCAACGTAAGACATTGGCATGCTAGCGACCTGAATCTTCCGCTCGGGGAATTTGGCGCGGGCCTCATGCTCGTGTAAACCAACGTGGCCAAGCTGCGGATCTGTATAGACAACATACGGTATGATTCGGTCTGTGGTGGTGAGTTCTCCATTTTCCAGTAAATTAGTACGCAACAGGCGGAAATCATCGTATGATATGTGTGTGAAGGCTGGTCCGCCTTTGACATCGCCAAGTGCCCATACACGAGGGTTAGTAGTGCGTAGCTGTGTGTCGGTAACAACGTGACCACGAGAAGTGGTATCGATGCCTGCAGCAGCTAGATTCAACTTGTCGGTGTTAGGCGTACGACCGGCAGCGAAGAGAACATGGGAGGCTGAGAGCTCAGATGGCCTGTCTTGATTCAAAACCGTGACTGATACTTCGACGGCCGCAGCTGGATCTCGACTGCTAGTAGCACGAATCGCTGTAGGGTTTGCTTGCAGAAGAACTTTGATGCCGTCTTCTTGTAGTATATTGAGCATTGCCTCAGCCACTTCGGGATCTTCGCGAGGAACTAATTGTGCACCTCGCTGTATAATTGTAACGGCGGCGCCCAATCGGCGGAAAAGTTGACCAAACTCGAGGCCGATATATCCTCCTCCAATAACCACAAGGTGCGATGGGACCACTCCAAGCTCTTGAATAGAAGTTGAGTCCAGGATAACATCCGGCGGAAATGAGTCAGAATTGAATCCATCTATTGCCGGTATTGCTGGGCGCTCTCCAGCGCAAATGAAGATACGGTCGGCAGTGAGAGCTTTCTGGACGCCATCTGCGCCAACCACCTGAATCGTGCGCTCGTCTTTAAAGGATGCTGTCCCCATGATCAAATCCACTCCAGCTTCGCGGACCCTACGCTCACTTCCAGATCGGAAGCTATTGACGATGTCGCGTTTGCGTTGCCTCACAATCTCCATATTTACTCGGACTTCGTTGTTAGCAGCGTCAGAATTGTTGCTGCTATATATGCCATATTGTGGTCCGCGCCGAGTAAGGTATGCAGCCCGTCCAGAAGCAATCAACGTTTTGGTTGGAGTACATCCTTCATTGATACAGCATCCACCAACATGTGAACTTTCAATCAGCGCTGTTTTATGCTTGGCTTGCGCAAACGCAGTGCTTAAAGGCGTGCCGCCTTGGCCTGATCCGATAATTATGGCACTATAATGAGTAGACATTGCTCGGGTTATTGGTCTATCAAGACGACGTCCGTAATTGAATGTTCTAATTGAAGCGTTGTATAAGATTCCACGCATTGGTTTCTAAGTGTAGTGGTAAGATGAAGAGCAGATAATTATCTTGTTACTAGCCAAGCCAATGAAGAGCGAACAAAAAAGAGTCCCATGATTATTTTATCTATTTAAACATGTATTTCAGCATTAGTAGCAACAGTATTTGAGGGGTAGAGCGAAGACTTTGAATGCGGAGAAGTGCGTCAGAGGCAAAGCATGATACTGAATTTCGTCACTGTAAAATCCAAGGCAGGCTAGCGTAAGAAGTTATAAGACCAAAAGCGTGTCTCCAGAGTCTTTGTATCCACGGGGACGATCAAATGTACAGGAGCAAGAAGAATACAACAGAAGGCTTTACCATCATTTTGTAGTGTCGTGCCCATCTTCTGAAGAATAGTTTTGAGTTAGGCGTGGATGGAAAAAGGATTGTACCGAGCTGCGCGCAACATAAACCTAACAGCGACCTGCCGCCTTTGTCAGTTTGCTCTATGGGCGCCAGTGTATGAGGCTGCGGCAGCAATCCGGGCAGGCAAAGTTGCAAATGTAAGAATGCGTCAACATGAAACCTACGCATCATAACAGAAGAGAGAACAGAAATTGATTGAACAAAGGTCTTCTACAACTGCACTGAAGAAAGTGGCATACACGTGATTGCTGCAATGAGACAGACTCGCATATTCCTAATCGCTTGCCCTATTTCAGAAGGGCGGTAGATCCCGAACCAGCGATAGGTGCGCCGTACTCGTTACTAAACTTTTTGTCTGGCGGGTTAGCATTTTAGAGCTGTTATGTGACAAACCAGCCACCGATTCGTCCGAGCTGTGGTAAGAATCGGCCGAGTTGTGCGAAAGAAACAGCTACTGGGGAAAATTTTCTTTAATTTCTTCTCTTTCTAATTAAAAGGAAAAACGATGAGCAAAGACGAGCATCACTGTATTAACATGTATGTATTGTTGTCAAGATAGCCGAGAGAAGCATGTTATAAAATACAGTTATTTGCTTGACTATAAATACGCCGAGAACAAATACTCCAAGTCGAACATGCCAATAATGATAGCTCGACACTAAGGCCTTGGCCATTAATTTAGGAAATACAGTGCATCTTCCGAGTCCGAGTTTGACTTGCTGCACGCGTTGTTAAAAAGCAACACGGCAATTAGGCCACTCTCATTGAGCCGTTGTTCCGTTAATCACGGCGACATTAAGTTTAAAGCAGCGCCAAGAGTGCCGAAATGCGGTCGATATTTCCCGACATGGAAATACGACTTACATATTTGAGCCCACAGTTTAGTAATACCCGACGCGAGTGGTTGTCTTGGATGAGAATGGCTGTGCAAGGCCGGTACTGGCGAAATTCACTTCAAGGAGTTTCTGTAGATCGATCAAAAGTATATAAAGGTCGTTCAAGAGCCTCATAAACACCGCACCAAGAGTCAACATCAGCAATACTTAGAGACAACTGGCTACAAACAACAAACACTACACTTTATCCAAATTCAACTCTTAATCCTCACAAAAATGGTCTACCCAGCTATCGAAGTGACAGTCACCACTGTTGGAAATCACACAGTCGAAGATGAGACCACTGAGGACGGAAAGAAGTACCAGAGAGCTTTCTACGACGCCGCCACTACCATTCCTGGCTGCTCCCGCGGCTGCTGGGGTAGGAGTGACAAGTACCCAGAGAAGGTCCTTCACTTCATTGGTATGTATCATGTTCGCCCAGTTTTTAAAGGCTCTGGTCATTAACGCTTGTCATAAGACTATGACACCCGCAAGGAGCATGATGTTCACAAGGCTCTTATTAATGGGCCAACGCCGCCAGTCCTCTTAGACATTCAGAGTGATACCAACGTTTACGTTATTCATCCCAACACCAATGACCGCAACAAAGTCTACTATGCTCCGTATACAACAGTCGCCTTTTTCTGGGGTATTGACGAAGAGAAATGGACTGAAGTCGCGCCCGAATTCTTTGCATCTGTTGCAAAGTCTGACGGCTGTACTGGATACATCTGGGGCGAAATCGATAAGCCAGTTCTCACCGACTACGAAGGCTTGGCCTCGCTAGGAAGCGGCAAGTGTGGTGTTTTTGCCGCCGGCTGGCGCAGCAAAGCACATCGCGATCACGACCTTGGACGTGAAAGAGCTGTGAACGCTTGGGAAGCAATCCAAAAGGCCTGTGTCAAGGCGGACTCGTGGGGAACTACACTTAGAGTGACTGAGAATACCGGCCATATTCATCGCTGGACAACACCTCTGCCTCTCAAGGATCGCACAGACTGGCTTCCTGCGGCTGGCATGATCTAATCACATTTGCCAGTTTGCTATACAGAGTGAGAGATGAACTATGAGACGATGCCGTGGGCGGCACAGCCTAACTTGTATCTAGTATATATAAAGATGCATCCCCTGGTTGGGTACCTAATGTTAATATGTTCATATCTTTCAATGATTCAATATTCATGTTAGCTCATCGACAAATAGCATTGTATGATCGTGACTACTGCAAGCTGAATGAAGGTCTATATTATGATCAGCTGCATTACAAAGATAGCCTAACAAATGCTCAAGATATTTTTTAATAATTGACGAAACTCTCATAAGTTGCAAGGTGCGGGTTGTCTGTATCGGGAGCCTGATGGGAATTGCCCATGATTAGTCATTTGATTCATAGCTAAAAATAGACGGAGCTGATGTCACATGGCTCATCTACGGTCGAATGTAAGATCGTCATTGCCTCACGCAAGCTATGAACGCTCTGGGAGATTAAAAGGCGCAAAGTCTGAGCAGGAACTTCATTCATCAAAAGAGAACAAAGTAGTAGATTGCATCATGTCGTTGAAGCACGTTGTTACCAAAAACGCGCCCGCATCGCCAGTTCCAGGATTGGTATGTTTGGCATCTACTGGTTCCCCTCAAAGTGTAAGATATCTAGGCTAATTTGACTGACGATACTCGTATAGTTTGCTCAAGCAGTGCGAGCGGGCCCATTTCTGTATACACAAGGAACACCCGGCGCTCGTCCAGATGGTACTATGGTCGAGGGCACGGTTCGTATCTCCTAATTGCCACATTATGCAAAGCAATGACGCTGATAATGTATTTGATAGATCGCAGATCGTACAAGACAAGCGATTAAGAACCTCGAAAAGATATTGGCAGCTGAGGGAATGACCCTCAATGACGTTGTAAAGGCGACCATCTTCATCAAGAATTTTGATGAGAATTTCCCTTTAGTCAATCAGGTAAGTAAAGACACATTGCATGGATTCGTGTCTTCATTTCCCTCTTGAACTTCTTGCTAAACATAAACTTAGGTATGGGAAGAGATGATGCCAGAGCCTCGTCCAACACGAACCACCGTAGGCGTCGCTCAACTACCGGCTGGGGGCACGGATATCGAGATTGAATTTGTTGGTTACAAAGCTTGAAAGATATGTAGCCGAAGATATAAGTGTTCTAAGAAACGTTTGTCCCTGTTAATTTTGACACCTAACTGTGTTTTGGAGAGTTTTGAGCTTTTGTGAAGTAATCTATCTGATCTAACAACAGTCACTATATACTTTACGCTAATTTACCTATCAGTCTAGGACAAGTGTAGCTTGTTGGTCAGTGCGTTTGGAGATCATGAAGACACATGTATCAATGAAACGTATTTGCTAGGCTCCTCCAATATAACAATCACTAGGCTCTAGAGGCAGGTAAATTGGACACAACAGTATTGTGATACGAGAAGTTTAGTCATTCACAACCTTTTTATAGATGAAACGTAAGCAGTCACTTACAAATTCTGTGCAAATAAATGTTAATTGTAAGACTACCATAGCTATCCACTCCATTCTGCTTATCACATAACCCTAGTTGTCATACAGATGCATGTGAACAGAACGTTTTCAGGGATAAACAGGGATATCAATCAGGTCATGGCCTTTAGAAGAGTAGCCTGGCGCATAACGATCTCCAAATGGCTGCATCCAGTTATCTACTTGAGTGTCAGCATTTTATAATCCACGGCTAGACAGCGAAATAATACTCACCATAGGTTGTGTTTGGCTTTGCCATGCAGAGATGAATAATGGACTCGTTGAAATTGCTGCTAAAGTTTGTCCGCGGGAATTGCTCCGTTAAAGTATTCCAATCGGGCATAGTTACCGGAAGAGATGGTCCAATGAAGTCTTCTACCGCTCCTTTGCTCACAAACTGCACCTCGAGTTCCTTATAATCGGCAATCGTAAACGTGGAATGCAGGGCAATAGAGTCCCAAAGGAGCCGCAGCCGTTGGGTATCCCAAGTTTGGCCATCCTTGTGCTCCTTGACGAATTTCGTAGCGGCAAAAGCGCCATCTACCTCAAAGCGCCTATCTGGGCTAACAATTGCAGAATGAGCATGAGGATCCAAGCCGATGTCGTGAAGAATTGAAGCAATTTCATGGACTTCAAGATCAATAGTAGCGCGCAGAGTCTCGTTGGGGTTAATAATAGTTGCAGAAAGTAGCCATGATCGCATCACATGATTATAGATAGAGTCGAGCATATGCTCACGGGCGAAGCTCTGCGCATCTCGGACGAGAAGAGTGTCGATAACAGTTACCCCTGCAATGACTATCGTATTGCGAGACGCGTCCCTAGGGGCAGGCAAAGCACGACTGTTGGCAAGTAACAAGCCTTGGAAAAGAGCCGAAAGAAATAAGCGATTCTTTGCTTTGAAGCCAATCATTTTCAATGAGTAGAGACGTGAGAAAAGGGATACAGGTGATGATTGTACCAGGGTTGAAAAAAATGTAATGGGTTGTAGTGTAGCCTAAACACGTCGCGGATTCCATTCCCCTTATATATTAATCTGAAGACATACCTCTACCATCTTTTAAATTGCATTTATTGGCAAGTCACACATCACTTCAATCTACTCTGAATGATTCCAAACCAATGAGTAATTGAGAATTTTATTACGGCTGAGCCGATGAAGGGTGGTATATTGGCCTCTGCCGAGCCCCTGTTTGAAGACGTCAGGGATGCAAGAATATTACTTATCAGTATTGGCTAGACTGTTGTACAACTAGTTCTGTATCATAGGCAGTATCAGTTTGCCTGCAAATGTACAATACAGTGCACCCTGCCTCGATGTACATTAAATAATTCTAAAGAATAATGAGTAATTGGGAATGCTATTACGACTAAGCAGTTAGAAGATGATACGCTAGGTACTGCCCAGCCCCTGTGTAGATGCATTGTGGATGCCAAATGTTAACTCTCAGTATTGAAGCCATGTTCAGCTACTCTGGTCAGCGGATACCAAATGAAAGAGCACGGCCAGGTCAGAGCATTAGAGGATGAATTGACTGGGCAAGTTCAAGGTGTATCAATTGAGTTAACCCCACTACTTTGCAGCTTTACAGTTTGCCTAAATGTCTTAAGACTTGGATCTAATAGTTAAAGTTGTATACCAGGAGAAAGCAACAAATTCTTTACAATCTCAATGACTATGCGAATGGCTCCTCTATGTGTGTTGCGGCTGGGCCCCAGTTGTTAGTCTGAGAGCAAGGCTATGCGGCCGGGGTACGTCTTGCCTAATATGGATATCTACCTATAACTCAACATGCTAAATAGTATGGCCCATAGGAAAAAAAATTTCAACAAATCTAGCAGAGTACTTCCTCGAATTAGACATTCGTAAGCTGGTCAGTCTGAAAATGTGCATTAGCAACTAAGATGCACTACCTTTCACACTAGTCCAGCAGCAGTACTGTCCAAATTCAATCAGCAGTGCGCTTTTGCTTCTAGCAGCCTCAAAGAACGTTGTTTAACTACTCATAGAAAAGATTCTTTGCAGGTTTTTTATGTGACTGCTGATGTGACTACATCTTAAGACCATGGCTCTTGGAATAGTCTGGTGCTATTGTCTCAGTGCAGGGACACAAAAAGGCCGTTCTTACTAAGCGTGCGATGGCATAGTGCACGGGACTACATTGAAAATCCCCGCAAGTCGCAGCGGCAAGATAGGTACTCACATATACATGTAGCCAGTTTGGCCTCCTGCAACTCCTATCTTCAGTATCCACATGACTCTCGCCCGTGTGTCACTCTTTCTCAAGCACGTCCTATTACTTATTACTACCTACTATAACCCCAAGCCTAAATCCATGGATCTTTTATGCGACCCAGCCTCCCCAGCAACCTCTCCCCGAAAGACACCGTATGTCTGTAATGAACTTTGGGATGGAGGGCCGTTCAAAACTTATCCAATCCGGCAAGGCAAGGTTGGGCTGATTCCTCCGCATCTCCGGCATTTTCTAGGACCGGAAGTCTTTCCTGAGCCATACAATGAAATGCTGTATCCCACGCCCAAAGAGGAGATACAGTCGTTTCTGCAGACATGGTTCTGGTTTGGGCTATTGGCTGAAATGCTAGGTCTGAATGAGATCAGCGCTGGTGTTCGCCTTGTTGAGAGCACCCCCGCTGCTGAAGGGATTCGCGATCTATATGCAAGCACAATCTATATTAGCGATGATGATGGCAAGCAGTATATCAGTGCCAAAGAGGTTCTCAACTCAGCCCAGCTTATTGCGGAAAGACAGAAGCTTGCGTCTAATCTGCGAGAGAGGCTTATATATATACGCGATTGCCTTCAATACGTCAACTTCATGATTCCTTCTGTCTTGAATCTAGATGAAACCGTGCGTTATTCAATATGCGCCCTTGGAGAATATTTTTCCACAGGCTTAGCTAGTGTGGTGGCACAGTCAAATCCCAAGATCGAAGTTTCCAACTTGGCATTTAGCTGGCATCAAAATTATATGAAATCAGGGGGTACCATAGACAAAGAGATGCTTCAGAAGGGGTGGTGCCCGAGCGAGACTGAGAAGATTCGATCTCAGTTTCAAGGTTTGCAAACTATGCACCATATTTCACAGCTACAGAAGTCGAATACCAACCAAGATCACTCAAAATGTACGCGCCATTTGTGCACAGCTTTCCAGATGGACATTGAGACCTATCAGCCCTCACATCTGTCAGATGACTGCGGTTGTCCTCTCATAACTATTGATGAGAGAGCGACCTCTCTCATTCTTCGCAGCACTGATACTTATCCTATCCTCCGCTTTGATCAAATAGGGGACGAATTGGACAACTTCGAGCTGGTAGTCGAACCATATGAACCGGGCGTCCCCTATGTCGCGCTCTCGCACGTAAGCACAATCATTCACCAACGTCCAACGATGGCGAGCTAACGAGAGATAATAGGTTTGGGCCAATGGGTTGGGAAACCCAAGGGCAAATTCTCTTCCAAGATGCCAAGTAAAACGAGTAGCTCAATTAATAGCCTCGTTGCAAGACCAAGTAGAAGTGGAACAAACAGAGTATAAGGCTCAATACCGAATCTGGATTGACACTTTCTGCTGCCCTATTGAACTTGAAGGTAAATTGATCGCACTTGAAAGGATTGTCGGTGTGTATAGAAATGCAGCTCATGTCCTTGTATTGGATGCTACTTTGACTGGATTGAATTCCCAAGACACACATCCTGCTGAGCTATTATTGCGGATATATTGTGCCTCGCCTTGGATGAGACGGCTATGGACCCTTCAAGGTATGATGATGTAGACTTTAAAATCTTTGATGCTTCTTCGACTAACCTCAAGCTGCTTGGTTAGAGGGCACGCTCACAAATAGTCTATTCGTACAATTTGCAGACAATGCAGTGAGAGGCTTCGATCTACTTGTTAAGCTTTTTGCTGCTGGCAAAATTGATCCGCGATATATGCGGATATGGCAAGATGTAATCAATGCAGTAAGTATTTCGTCGTTGTGTTTGGAAACATCTGAGTGATCCCATCTGATAGTCTTCCGCCGCAGTATAATGAACTTCAAGGCTTCCGTTCCGAGAATGGAGAAGCAGAGTCTGCTAGACCGCAACTCCTTACTCTTCAACGAGCACTGCAGTTCCGCACAGTATCAGTAGCATCTGATGAACCTCTCTGTATCTCTACTTTAATGTCGCTCGATACGAAATACATTGCTATTGCCTCCGACACCGAATCTCGAATGCTTCGCACTTGGGAACTCCTAAGCAAGTCGCACGGCGGCCTTCCACCACGACTCATATTTTATGCGGACGAAGTGATGAGCACACCTGGATGGCGATGGGCTCCTCGTAGTCTACTAGGATCGTCTGTCAAGGACTCAACGATAGGGTTCGACGAGCGCATGCTGCGTCTTGTTGGTGCCCCCGATGCCCTAGGTATTCCGACACCTCTAGGTTTGAAAGTCGCCTTTCCAGGATGTCGCCTTGTTCCTCTCCCGCTGATAGCTGGCCTTTCATTACATCCATGGCCTGGAGCAATTAATCCTTCAGAAGATCAGATCATCATCCATCACGAGGAAAGCGGCAAATGGTACCGGATCAATGATTGGTATCGCAGCAAAAAGCTCTCATCATGGACTGATGATGAGAGGACAGCTTTTGATAAAGATCAAAACGATCCTCTTTGCAGAGAAATAGACTCTGGCAAAAGCGTCTTGATCTACGATGAAAGATCAAGGGTTAACAATATGTTAGTAGCGTGCATGGCGCTCATAGAAACTATTCCGAAGGATTTCGAACACAGCTCGATTAATTCGGAGGAACTTAAGGCTGGCTTAAGAGTCCACAGAACAAGGACAGTTATCATGTCTCTTCTCAGTGAGGAAGAAGTACGAATGATGACAATTTTTAGGAATTTAGCTTCTATCGTAGCAGCATATCAGGAAACTTTTGACCTATCAGCGATGGAAGATCGTGATAGCGAAGAGTGGAAGAATTGCATGGGCAAGATCAAAACGAAGATGAGAGAGGTGGTAGCGGAAGCATTGAATTCCAACCCAGAGCTGGTTGAGGCCATCAAAAATACTATTGGCACTGGCGTGGAGGAGTATATGTGGGCATACATTCCCAAGATCTTTTCCCACACTGTTACCATTAAAGAAACATCGAGCGAACAAATTTGGTTTGTTGATTAGATATTAAAGGCAAAGCTACACATATAACAGACAGATATAACACCAGCACCATACAATCCAATTACGCTACCAATTTACAGATTGCACTTTCTACTTGCCTTATTAGAACATATTGTAGAAGCTGCTAAGGGCACTGATACCTTAACCCCCTGCACTCTGACTTCAGGGCAAGAGTAGATAAACAGTATTTTACATCATTGCTTCTTAGTTTGACTGTTAAATTACAGGCTTCATTGTATCAGATTGAGCACTCTCGTTCATGGAGCATGACTATCCTCTTCCATTTTATCAACCTCTACACAATATAGCGGCCAGGTTTCACAGATAAAAGGCCCCAGCGCCAATTTACATAGGGGGTAAGACTTTGTTTCCACACCCAATACGTCAGATACGCGACTCCAACATTTGGGTGACATAATGTTAAACTCACGGTAGGTAATTGTTGCGATATTGTGGCTTTTGTGGGTTAAAAGGCCAGACCATGATTCCTCCAAGGGAGCCAGCGGCGCCGCTACCGTCACCACTCTGTAGAATTTGCTTGCAGGCGAAGTTGGCGAAGAATGCTTTTTGTTGTACCATTTTTTTCGCGATCCTCCATCGTGACCAACCGGGCAAGTTTCCTGGCGAGTTGTGGTTAGGCAGTGGTCACCTCGTGCGGACAACAATTACACAGTTCTTACAGCTTTTCGATATTGACTCTATCCAGGTAAGGATTCTTTTGGTATTTGTTTCGGTATGCTTTCTGAAAGAGTTCGATGGCGTCGTAAAATCCAGCCAGGTGTAGATGAGCTGTGGTCTTGGTACTCATGTCAGGACACACAATTCAGGCGCAATTTTACAGAAAGCAATGGGGGGGAGGGGGGGCACCGTTTTTAATTCGCTATAAATCGATTGCCCGAGACCTTGGGGATCTGTCTTTTTCCATTCCTCATCTATATTCAAGATCGTTCGCTCTGTGTTGCAGAAGCTCTCGAGAGCCTTGATGAATCGATCAACGGACTCAATGGTTTCGCCATTGTCGTGTGGAAATGACGATTTGGGATATACTATCCGTGAAGGTATTGTTTGGACCTAAGATATTAGCTTTGAAGACAAGTACTAGCTAATGACGGAGGGAGGGGGAGGAGCGGCAGGTTCGATTACTTCGGATATAGGAGGGCTTCTTCCAGGTTCAGATGCGCCCTCGAGTAGCTTGGAGCTGACGAGATGCAGAATATCGATGCTTCGAGTGAAGATGCCTGACGTATCTAAATATCTGAGACAGGAAGCTCAGTAGTCTGTTTGTATAGATGGTCACCAAAGTAATGTATGCTTATTCATACTTGCTGATGGTGAAGGCTCCTTCATGAGGGAGTGCACCAGTAGACATCCTTAAGCCAAAGATACCCTGTGCAGCTGCCGGGCACGCGATGCTACCACAAGCTAGGAAGGTCCTCATTAGCGCTGATCTTGGCAACTCCTGATATCTGAAAGTAGGAAAGAGAAGCTCAATCTTACTGTCGGATCCAATGGCAAAGTCTAGCCATGGGTATGAGGAAACCGCCATCGCGCTCCCGCTACTGCTCGTATCGGGGTTTTGATAACCATCACCTGCTGTGCATTTAGTATAAGACGCCAAGATCTAGAGCAGAAGAAGGGGATAACTGACCACGCGGGTTCCAAGGGCAGCGGTAGTCGATCCATTCCTGCGGATCTTCACCGTTGGCGAACTGTGTATTTTTGGCCTTCCCGACCAGTACTGCACCTAAAGCAGCGAGCTTCTGGACGATGAATGCCGATTTAGGTTCGGGATCAGACAGCTCGAAGAAAGACCTGGAGCCCGCGCTAGTCTTGAGTCCGGCAACATCAAACACGTCTTTGGACGCAAAACGAAGGCCAGATAAGGGAAGCTTGGGGGTCTGTGGTGGAGAGTATAGGCGAGACGGCACGGCAACATGATCGGTTGGGCGATGCTCTATGAATTGGCCGCTTATAGGGCTCTGCGTGATGGCCGAGAAGAAGGCAGATTGAGAATCGGGAAACTCTCGATATACGTGATGGAAGCTGGCTTGTTGATAAAAGTATGGCCCTGAGCGCAGTCCCTGTAAGCCATTGGTGGCAATTGGGATGACGTTTATCGTGCCGAGATCTCTGAGACCAGGAAAGGAATCTTTGGACATGTTTTCGGCCGTTTCAGATTCGAGAGACGGATCTAGCAGGAAGACGGCCCTGCAGAAAGACACGGAGGTGACATCGTCAATTGTAAGCCAGTGTGAGAAGAGCCCACAGAGGCTGGAGTCGACAAATCCAGGGCAATCGTCAGCGCGGAAGACGAGACACGGACTCCTTGAAATTTTGGAGCAAAGTTGCTGGAGAGTTATCTGGCCATTAGCGCGTCTGTGATAGCGATTGCATGTAGTGGACTATATTTGGCGGAAGCACACGATAATTATAGCTTAGACGAGCAACAGAATCCTGAGACCACTGATACGATGGTTCGTCGAGGCGGATCACCGATTGCCAACCGTCTGAGAGGCTCATAGTGGCCAGATGAGGTGATAAAGAAGAGCTGATGGCTGCCATGATGATCAGAGCTGCTGTAAATAGTGATAGTTGCGTGCTCAGGAATGGAAGAGTTACTACTGCTCAGGTGGTGCAAGCTGGATTCATTCTGCCAGTTGGTCAGTGCACAAGCAGATACTTGATAAGCGCAAGGACTCAGCGTTTTAGAGTGTACAAGAACCTGCTGAGTACCTGGAGGACTAACTCATACCAAGCTCAAATCTTCCCCAAGCATTCATATCGCGTAAAGGATCATCGAGTGCACGAATATGCACGATTGGTTGACTAGACAACGCCGCATAAAGTCTACTCTTAAATACAGCCACAAAGATGGGAGTTGTTATTCTCTGCGAGTAAGAACTATACTTTTGTAAAGTGCTGATCTCTCTAGGTATGCGACATATATTATAAAATAGTAGACGCTAGCATACAGCGGTTCCACGTTCAACTATATTTACATTCTCCTTTTGCGAGCTCATCGGTCATTAGTTCCTGGGTCATGTCGTCCACAATGTCGTCCCCAGTGTCTCTCTACAGCCTTGATTACCTCACATCCATGCACTTATAATAACCTGCCGATGCCTTATACGCTCCGATTGTAATATCACCGCTCCAAATGTGGATGAGTTAAGTCTGCAGTTGTTGTTAAGACCCTTCGACGACGATCACGACAATAAGGTGGTAGTCGCCGATATAAAAGGCGCCCCGAGATATACAATGAAGCGATTGTATAGGCAGTTGCAGAGTCATCATATCCGAAAACGATTGCCATATGTGCGACCATTTAGGTGGCTAATGTCATATTATATTAACGATAACCCGTTCAATGCAACATGCAAGCTAGCATATGTAAAAGCGCCAATGTATTATTTGAGGTAAAGTCAAGGTTCGCGCGATATAACCAGCAGGACCATGAAGCTAATGTTTAGTATCTAGTATTTCGTATCCTATATTTTGTATCAGGAACCGGTGTTGTAGCATTTCGTAAAAGCGGAGCTACTAAAAAACAATAGTATTGCAGTGACGTACGAATACTAGGTAGTTGACTAGGTAGCATTCGTAACTACAAGAAGTATGATTCATAACTTTCCGCAACCCTAGATATAAGCACTACAACTCTTGGATTATTAAATCAGCGAATTGCGGTGAGCCAACTCCATTATACCTCGGTTAATATACAGGGAAACAGTTCAAAGGCTGAAACGACATCATCATGTCCGGAGATTAGGAGAAAGCTGATACGACGAGTAAATAAGCAAAGAGTTAACTCCGCTGCTCTTTGTCATTCGTTATTCATCCACGATCGCAACCCCTGAAAGCAAATCCGTACTTGTTATTCTCATGGCGTCAACGTTATCAGGATCGAAAAGTCGGAGTTTGTCGGCCTATCTTCAAGTGAATGGCCTCTTCATGCGCTCGGCTTCATCCGCGCTAACTGACCCTTAGCGTCTACGTCAATCAACCGTCTTTCGGACTCTTCAGCAGGCACTCAACTCCAGCATGACTCAGAATAGCTAGAAGCTCCCCACTTCCTGAGATACCTGATATATCTTGACCAAAAGGATATAGAGCAAGATTCCTACTAGCGATGGTTACGCAGGATAACACTTCTGCTATGGATAGACCGCAGAATGAATCATCGGATAATCCGACAAAGCCAACAACCAGACACTCGTGGAACTCCACGCATGTGCTGAAAAAGTGGCATACTCTCAACTCCGCCTGGCCCTATCCGAGCGCTGAGGAAAAGCGAGAGCTTAGTCGTAAGTCTGGGCTAAGCGTTCGCCAGGTATCACAATGGTTTGTGAATGCAAGGCGGAGAAGCGAAGGGCGATCAGACGACAAACAAGGCAGCAGTGAGAGTCACTTAAAGTCTTCACTACCAAGACCACGACGGTCTGCTTCGCTAGGTACTCTCTCATCGGCAGCTTCTAGAGGCACTTTGACCAAATCGCACTCTCAAAGCGACATTTCTTCCCATTTTCAAACTAGCACCGATAATTCACGGAATTCCGCTTCACACCCCTCGAGCAGCTACTCTTCTTACCCTAGGCACCCCGACGTTACGGATCACCAACAATTACAGAATGAACGCTCCGAAACACAGATTAGCGTGGGCAATAGGATAGCCGAGGATAAAAGCTCCCGGATCTACCAATGTACTTTCTGTACGGATACCTTCAAAACAAGATATGACTGGACGAGGCACGAGGCAACGCTTCATTTAGCGCTTGAACAATGGACATGTCTTCCCACCGGACCAAAAAGATGGGATCTGGGAGACCCCTCTCCCAAATGCTCTCTTTGTGACGAACGCGACCCCTCCGACGATCACCTTCAGTCTCATCATATATCTGACTGCATAGCGAAACCCACCTCGTTGAGAAGTTTTCTCAGAAAAGATCATCTTCACCAGCACTTGCGTATTGCGCACGGCACCGATAAAATGATACTGTCGATGAATGCTTGGAGCTCGAAGCTTTCTCAAGTGAAATCACGCTGTGGCCTTTGCGGAGAGACCTTTTCCCTTTGGTCGGACCGCAATGATCATCTCGCCGACCACTTTCGAAGAGGCAAAACCATGAAAGAGTGGAAAGGGGATCGAGGCTTTGAGCCTTCCATTGCGATGCTTGTCCAAAGCGCAATGCCGCCCTATCTCATTGGCGCTGAGTCTTTAGATCTAGAGCCTTTCAGCGCCTCGAAGGGCGTAATGAAGAAGATGCTCACGTATCCGGACGCGAAGAGCCCTCCAAATGTGTTTGAGCTGCTTACAGCCCGTCTTGGTGACTTTGTGACTGCCTCAAGAGCGAGCGGCGCTACCATCAACTGCGATATCCTTCGACACCAGGCGCGGCTTATTCTTTATGGGGACGATGATCCATTGAATCAGACTCCTGCGGATAATGATCAGTGGCTAACATTGTTCAAGATTGGGCATGGATTAGCTTCAGCACCAAGCCAACCACACGTAACAACCCTCGCAACAGGTGAACATTCTACGCATAACCCAATCTCCAAGACAGCAACGCCTCTGTTACTATGCGCCAACAACCTTACCATTCCGCGTCGAATGCCAGCACAAGGAAAATCAGGAAGCGGAGACGATGCCACTGAGCCTACGCTCCCATGGTGGTGCCAGTCGCCTGAATGCCTAGCAGAGCTTATGCAAATGAGCGAAGAATTCGCATTGACGACCCTGGGTGAAATTGAGACTGGTAATGGACTGGACGGTGGATACTAAATTTGGGTCTGCTTATCATTAGAAAAAGCCACAGAGGGAAGCTCTTTTGAAAGAGGTGTTTCGTATAAAGATTGCCTAGCTACATCAAACTAGCGCTCTCTGTTATTCGACCCCCCTTCACAGTTTAACAGACATCTCCAAACCTTTGGAATAAGGAAGTGTCAGATTCGTATACCCATTTTTCGGAGACCTCAAATGTTCCAGTAATTCTTTATATCTGGTAGCAGAGGAAATCGAGTTATCAAGAATAACAACGCCTCCAGATCTCAACTTTGGCTCCAAGAGTTTCAACGCCGGAAGGGCAACAGGGGCCCAGACTAGATGAACTTAGCTATGTGAATGAAGAATTTACGCAGATTCCAACTTACTATCAAGGAGAATAAGATCAATCTGCGGGATGTCTTTTGTCAACGTCTCAAGGAGATCTCCCTCTCTCAAGTCGATATGGCGCGTTACAAGATCGTTTCCAGCTTCTTGCCAGTATTGACGAGCTTTCTCGGCTTTTGTATGTTCTTTTTCTGTAGCAACCACTTTACCCTCACCTCCAAGGCGGTCGAGATTACTTCCCACTGCCAAAGCGAGGTAGATAGTAGACACCCCAAAGCTGGTGCCGATCTCGACAATGTTACGAGCGCCGGTTGCTCTCGCAAGTTGATAGACAAATTGGCATTTATCTTGATCCAAGGCAATGAACTTGTCTCGCATCAAGTCATCAAAGCCACCAGAAGCCAAGTAAGTCGACGGAAGAGCGTTTTCTTGTGTAAGGGACTCTTTATGTAGACGATCGAGCAGCGCAAGAACATGGTCTGGCGCCACAACAGGGTTTGGGGCTGGAGCGGACATGGCTGGAAGATGGGCCTAGGGAGGGACTTCTGTGCGAAATACTGAGTTTCTTAGGACTGTCCAGATATCACAGAGAGGTGATTTCTAGTTCTTTAATGCTGCTTCTCTCATTATGATGACCTAGGGACAGTATATATACTAGACTAAACAACTCGGGCCAGGATTTCAGATGTGGGCTCCCGGAGATCTGCAATCCGATCCTGCACGGTGGCCCACAATATGTGCCATTTGGCGCCCTGGACATACTCCGCAGTATGGCAACTATTGGTGGAACAACGGCCTAAAGATGTATAAACAGTCAATAGATACTCTCCTGGTAATACATGTATGACTGTATTCTTATTTTGACCTGCTAATACATTGCATGAGCCATCTTTCTCAGAACTTGCGTATTAAACCACGGGGTCTAGTATCAGACCGGTGGCCGCTTAGTCAACCAGAGACGCGAGGAAGCGCTTTATAGGATCATGTATGATGGCACCTGCATGTAAGCTCTATTGGCGCTTACACTTTGCTAGTGAATTTTCTTAGTTATATAAGCCAGAAGCTAGCACGAAGTTGCATGAAATTTTGTAACATCTACGCGGTTTGTTATGCTTAAAACGGCCTGTAGCTACTATTCGAATAATTAGTATAGAAGTCTCAAGTGCGATTCAATTTTATAAATTTTGACTCTTCGCAGTGATCAACTTTTAAAATTAATTGTCAATAAAGGAATGCAGGTATTTAGGTGGCATATTACAAGTATTACTCTATGAGGCTCTCAGCAGCTGAAAAGGGATCTTTAGCCTCGACTTGTTAATCTCGACATTTTAGCAAGAACCTCTGGCGCACTATAAAAGCACTTAATTCTGGTAAATTACTAAGTCTAGAAATCAACAAGTTTGCCTTCTACTAACATTGAAGTATGAACTGTCTTTGCTCTCTCACTTTCATACTAGGTCTTATACCTAGTCCCACTCATAAGACCTTTTGTCCTTTACCCCTCTTTTCCTTCGTTTCCAGCAACATGTTCAACTTGGACAATCACAGCAATCACAGCATCCGTTAAGTTCATTAATATAAACTATTTCTATATCCTCCAGATAATCGTCTCTTTAATTAAAACAAGAATGGCATTAGAGCGCCCTTCATCAGCAATCATCGACCATCTCAAACAGCTTTATTCTGCCTATCGCCATACCAGTGACATAAGCTCGAAAGGCGACTTCTTTTCTTCTACCTGCCTCCAAATATGCCGGCCACAGCCATCATTTGCAGCTCGTGATAGAGAGACCATTGTGCGATATCTCCGCGAGGCATCAGGCCAAGATGCTGACACCCCATCATCGACAACTGAAGCAATAAATGAGCCGTCAAAAAAGAGCTATTACACGATCCGGCCCATACAAGAGGAGGAGTTCGAGTTTGGCACTGATGATCAGGTTAAGCCAGCTGGATTTGCGACAGCAGACGATATCAAGCAAAAAGCAAGAATCGAGGGATGGGTAGGCATGAGAGTCGACTTGTGGGATGAAGAGGGGAAAGATGGAAGCGAGGGGCGCCTGATCAAAGTTCAGTACTGGTGGAGGAAAGAGGAACAAGGATGGATACAGATTTGCCATGATATTATGTACATAGGGCCAAGAGATGGGACCGAAGGCAGCCAAGGCGAGCGGCTTGAGTGATGCTATTTTTCGCATTTACTCAGCCTCTTTGTCATTCATGCCTTTGATCTGCGACTATATTTTTGATCAGATTGTGTGATAGTTAAATGAGTAGTCTAGCAGTCATGTCAACATTTTTTTTTACTTTTATCTACAATTGTATTATATCAGTCTAAAATCGGCAGTAATCCCTTGGCTTGAGCATCCTTCACAGCCTGGTTATAGATTTCCAACTTTGCCTCGTACTCCCTGATCAAGTCATCTTGTGATTCTTCCCTTTTTCCAGGGGACGCGTCGCCGCCTCCAAAAGCTCTCACAGCAGCATAATAAACATCTGCGAGTGCTTTACAAACTGACGTTACACTCGATGATTGGCATTGGTAGTAGAGGCTAAACAGCAATTCTCAGTATTCTATCCTCATACTAGCCATAGACTCAATTGATGTCTTGCTTCACTTACTCAGATTTGAAGTTGTTGTCGATATTGAGCTTGCCACTATCTGTAAAGCGATTTTGAAGGCGATAATTCTGGTAGCCAAAGTCGTGTCGGTTGCAAGCAGGGACAAAGGGGAATCCAAACGGATTATCCGGCGAGTCGGTGCAGCCATCAGATGACCAGTCAAGCGTAGAAGGGTTTTTGGCGTTGCGGCGAGTAATGAAGTCAGGGAGTGTTATGCTAAATAGCAGCTGATCTGTGATGGCTGAGAGGCTGGTTTGCCGTCGGCCCAAGGTGCCTTCCGAGGCCGGCAATGCCAAAGCGGCGGGCAGGAGGCTAAAAACGACAGATGCCAGCTTCATGGTAAAGGAATTGGATTTCCGTTCTATAGAGAATCGCCTGTATTATACGTCGGCACTGGGCTATTGAGAGGAGGTTCCATCTCAAGTACAAGAAAGAACTTTGGCTTCCTTTATACACGACTCCCACTTCCACACATTAAGCCATTTGTAATGCCAATCCCATCCTTTAGCGTAGGAGACTGAATAGCGAGTTTCGACTTGTCACAGAGCATATGCCGAGACGAAAAGTCCCCAAATGGTCCATTTATGCTCACCGACCTGCCCAAAATAGGTTGTCCTAACACCTCGCCAAGAGTTCTCTCTAGAAGCCTTCTGCATCCCAAATGGGGCCGGTCTCCCACCAACGGCTTCTACCCCTCATACCGGACGGCGCAGGAGCGGGTTAAGTCACCAGAGTAGCAAGGCGTTGTCTAATCCAAGATGGCAGTGCGGCCGGAAAGAGGCATCAGAACCGCGAATAACGTGCCCGTCTTTTTTAGAGATTTAAGCTTCCTATTTAGCGAAAAGCGTGAGATATTAATTTAAACGGCTTATAAGCAGAGTATATAGTAAGCTCAGAGTAGTTTGCCAAGAGTCATTGAACACTTTATTGCGATTAAGCGCTGGGCCAAGCATTCCATCCCGCCTGAAATTTATGGGACTAAGTCAAGTGACTGCTTTTCTACTTCAGACTTCAGAGCCTAAAGCACTTGAAGGTAATTGCTGCCGAGTGCGAGAGACATTGGACATTCGCTAGACCCTCGGTTTTCAAGGCAATCGCTGGCTTCCAAACTCTTACAGTTCCGTATTAATTTATATCTCCGCGAGAACAAGTTGGCATTCCATGCTTATAGGTTCTAAAGCGAAGTCCAACTGATAAAACCGTACACTCTCTAGAGCCATCTTCTAGTAATTTCACTGCTAGTCTGTAGTTACTCATACGATTTGCATCTCTACTTTCCGTTACACATAGCAGAGCTAAACAAACATTACTCCACCCTGACGAAACTGACGACTGTGCAAGTCTTCAAAATGAGCAGTCGGCTCATACTAACAGTATTAAATTGAACCGAATGTGAGGAGTAGATCCGGCTTGTAGCTACAATGGCCAAAGTCGATTTCGCTTCATGCGCGCTAAAGCTCTCCAATCTCAAATGCCCTACATCCTCTGAGGCACAGGGCATGTTGTCCTGAGTTGCATCTCTAAGAAGCGCAGACGCAGATGTAGAAGAAATATATTAGGCAGCTTCTATCATATCATTTATAAAAAAAAAAAAAAAAAAAAAGAGAAGAGAGTCATAAGCTCGCAATTATCTTCGTAAAGCTGTGGCGTCCGCCGCGGGGTAAACGCTGCCCCTTGCAATGGCTCAACACTGGCATGGAGCATCAGCTGCCGGGGCATATGAAAGCCTCCGATATGCTTGTGCTACATATAGGTACGTGAATTCAATATTCGCATAGTGCAGAGTACACAAAGTGGACTTTCGCATCCTTGCGTGCACATGCTATGGGGAAAGGTTCCGGCCTGGTTGCTTAATCCAGTTGTTGGCCCTCTTCGTGGTAACGTGAAGCGTTCCGAGCAGCTCATTCGCGGGCTCCCCGATCTCCTCATCAGCTCATATGACTACTCTCAAACCCTAGTACAAATACCTACCTAGGCAGTCTTCATTCTTTCGTGCCTGAGGGAGTTTTACCCTCGTAGCCATGTATAGCAGGTAGTAGCCAATTGCTGATGCTACTCTCTAGTCACACAGAACAACCAGCTCCAGCAGAATAAATCCAGCGCGGGGTCATGAAGCGTGGACGGATGGTAACGCTCGGGATGCGGCATTCCATTACTCGCCGTGCAGCCTCATGTCCGTTTTGGGGCAAAAAAATCGCATCTTGCAGATGGAAAATCTTTGATACTACCTCATATCTATAGGAGCAGGCGTAGGTAATATGGATGAATGGTCAGGTGGTCTCAATGGCGGATACCGGAGATTCATTGCTGTATATAGAAGACCCAGGCTTATTCAATAGGTCGGTACGCTCGCTGAAAGAAGGCTGCATGTACAAGGAGCTGCCCAGTCAAGTGTGCGACCATCCCAGAAGGGATAGGCTGAGAGGATCTCGCGATTGAGCTCAAATCTAGAGAATACCGGGACACCTTGATCAAAATGGAAGCGTTGTGATACCCACGCCACCGCCAATTACGCTACACATACCCATTTCCATAACATCATCATACAGTGAACTAGCACGATGTATAGCTCGGCGTTCAGTATTATTTCGGTTCGAAGGTAAAAACCCCAATCAAGTCCTCAAGGCTGCAGGCCAGCTTTTATCACCAACTTTGAAGCGCAATTGTCTCGCTTGTCTAGACCCACGGCAGCGGAGCAGCAGAGCTAGCTCGCCATCAGCCGCGGGGTCCATGATGCGCTGCAGCTTGTGCATGTATCTTCCTGTTCTATATAAGCTCCGGCGTTTAGCTACAGACATCTCGCATCCATCGATTCAGTGGTGGAGATTGCGAGTAGCAGCGTAAAGCCTGCTTCCGCAGTCGGTGCAACAGAATCGGATTTTCATCAAGGGTTTTCGTCCATCAGCTCCCACTTACATTCACTAATGTTCAAAATTCCGCAGGGCTTGCAGCTGGCCACCCTTTTCGCCGGCGATCGTTGCCTGTACACATTTGATGTGTAGTACAGAGCATGAGGCAAAGAGATGTCACACATACACACAACCTGTTCTCTCCCTGCAGCGGAGGAATTCAAAGTGGCGGGACGTAATCACTGCTATATAATAGTGGCTGATACGATAAGTAGGCGCTTATCATGTTTGCTCATTCTATTATTGTGAGACATGCATGCAGATGACCGTGAGCTATCTAATTTGCTAGCCTCCTGGGTATCCGCCACCTCGTCTCCTGACCTAGTCTTTCTCCAGCCCTCTGTAGGCCTCGGAATGCGCCATGCACTTATGTTAACAAACAGGCCCTGGCGGTTCATCATTCACTCTCCAGAGAAGACAAAGTTGGCCCGCCGATATGTGGATATCTAGTTCGGCATCGTGTATCCGGGGGCGGTCTCGCCTCCCTTCCAAGATCGACTGTATCACCCACCCAACCTTTCATTTCCCTTGATCCTGCCTCTTATTTTCGTGACCTAGAGCTCAGCTATTAATATAGCGTTCCTCTTTCGCAATCTATGAAAATGATCTCATTAGCCTGCGTTGCTGTGAAGTGCTAATTGTCTCTTCTTTTTGCAACTTCAGTCCCTAACCAGGCAGCTGCATGCGATGGGTCGTCAATCGGAAGCAGCGACGTCACCATGGCGCTCTTCAGAAGGCTTGGTGACCTTTGCGGTCGCGTTTGCAGTGTTCACGGTAACTATGAACAATCTTTGAGTCCAAAGACGAATCTATGTGCTGACCAAAATTATAGGACGGACTGGTGTATGATTTAGTCATACCCTTCCTACCTGAGCTCTTCACAGGTCGATTAAAGACACGACCAGAAGATGGTTGGTAGAACCAACATCTCAAACTTAGCAGCGGATTCCAAGTTGGCTAACATGGCAGTCGATCACAGTTGACAATTGGGCTGCTCTGTCCCTCGAATCCTTCGGAATGGCATTGCTTATTACGAACTGTGAGTTAGACAGTTCCTTGCTAAGCAGCCTCTCGAGATGCTGATTCTCGTCGCGTTAGGGATTGCTGGATATATCGCCGACGGAAGCGTCTCAAAAAGCCGCCCATTCCTCGCCGGAATTGCTATTATGCTTATTGCTACGCTTCTGTTCTTCCTTGCCACTGACCCATACCTCATCATTTTCGCCCGCGCCTTGCAGGGGGCCTCAGAAGCTCTTGTATGGGTGTCTGGCATCGCTTTTCTAGTCTCACAGGTAGACGAGGCCAATCTGGGAGTGTGCATGGGTTACACAACGTTGGGTGCTACGATCGGGGAGCTGATTGGACCTCTACTAGGAGGCTATCTCTATGAAAAGCTAGGGCACTGGTCTGTCTTTGGGGTAGTAGAGGTAGTGATTGCAGCCGACATTGTGCTTCGACTGTTAGTCAAGGAGAAGGACTCGACGACTCAGCAACACGCCCCTGTGGATGTTCTGAAAGGCAGTTCTGAAACAGAGCCTCTGTTAGAAGCTGCGGCTGCAGTATCTCATGGGACAATAAGTCGCCCTTTTTCAACGGATGTTGAGCGCGGGGAGGAAGATAACCGCACGGCATGTTATAAGATTGGCAACTCTGAAGATGAAAATGATGCCGTGTCTGAGTTGCGCAGTTTGGGATGGAACTGGCTCTCGAGCGTTGTTGGCGCGGCTGTTGCCTGCATCGTTCGGTCAGCATTGGAAGCCGTGAGTTTACTATCAAGTTGCCCCGTCCAATGCCATACTAACACATCGCCACAGACTATTCCGATATATGTGCTCCGCCATTTTGGTTGGACTTCATCCGCTGGCGGAGGCGTCATGTTTGCTCTCCTTTTCCCCATGGTAGGCGGCCCACTGGTTGGCAAATACACGACTTTGAACGGCCCGCGATGGTTTAGCTCTCTGGCATCGCTCGCATGTGGTGTCTTCATGGTCACACTAGGCTGTCTTACAGGCGATGATCCGACGACTCAGGTACTCTTCGTCATAAACATAGGGCTCATTGGACTCTGCATCTCTTTCGGCACAACGACACAGACGACGGCCATCTCAGCAGCCGCACAGAGAGCTGAGGCCCTGAGAACACGAATTCGATCCAGCGGCGTGGAATTAAGCTGGCAGTTGAGAATGCTAACCCCGGGGATGATGTTGAGTGGTCTGAGCACAGCGTGGGCTCTGGGGCTTTTCCTTGGTCCTGCTTGTGGAAGTGTTTTCCACTTCAATACGAACCAAGAGTGGTTGCACCTATGCTGTTTCTTAGCAATAATATGCGTGGTAACAGGCTTCTATTGTTCCACCACATGGAAAAAATGGCGGTAGACGGACTTGTTGGTTGCAAAAAAGCTTGAAGCAGTCGATTCACGATAATGTATGACTCAATACCAAAAAATAACTGTGCATATGTATGCTCTGGGCGCGATTATTCTCAAACAGTTTAGAACGATAATAAAAGAGGCCAAAAAATCAAGAGGAATAGCAATTGCACGTTTCGATCGTGCGACCTCCGGGTTATGAGCCCGGCGCGCTTCCACTGCGCCAAATTGCTTTGAATCCGCTTGATGGGGTTCCAAGAGCATAAACCCAGTAGATGTTGGCTACGATAGGCGAACGTGAAATTTTCGTGGTTTAGGTGGGGAATAGCGTCAAGGATAATGGAGTCGTTAAAATGGAGCGCTTTGGCCTCTATGTTTGGGGCATTGTAGAAAAGACGGACGACAATAAGAAATAAATAAATAAATAAAGGAAAATTGATTCAACCAGAAAAGACAACCATTAAGTGTTTATCTAAGAATAATGATATGCATACATACATAGGGAACAGCGAGACTGCATTCTGTGCAAGAAACTAGCAACCATCGCAACGGCTTAGTACACTTCCAGGACAACTTTCGATCTTTATTAGATAGATGACACACGTCAGGAAGACTGATAACATACGGTACCCCCCTCTCTTAGCTCGCTTTCTCAGTCAATGAAAATCTCATACCTACGTGGTGACAAACAACCTTGATGTCTTGCTCCGCCAACCATCAGGGTTCACCGACGCAGCTTTACAGGGCCGCGGAAGTAATCACTAGATTGTGCAAACATTTGTGAAAGCAGCTAGAAAAAATATAAAATGTTTACCATCAAGGTCCTCAGTTATATTCCAAGAAGACGTGGAGGATAGAGAAACAGATTTTCTCCCTTTCTTGCGGTGTTACAACTTCCATTCTTAACTTCAGTTGTCTCCAACAGTTTTCCCATCATATGACAACTACTGCATCCACCATAAACCAACATAAGGTCAGTTTGAAGAAATGAGTGTGCTTCAAAAAGAAGAAGAGGTGTACGATGTCATTATCGTCGGCGCTGGTCCTTGTGGCCTTTCCACCGCCTCTCGACTTCGCGAACACACTCCAGCCGCTCTTTTCACGGACGAAGAACACCGCCGTTACCATTGGATTGGGAAATATGGAAAACAAATCAGCCTCAAACATGTAAAGAGCGGCAAGATATCCCAACCTCACAACTCTGCAACTTGCCGGCCCGAGTACAAGATGCTCGTATTAGACGCCACAGACAATAAGTGGCTCGGCCGCTGGAATCGTCTCTTCAAAACATATGACATTTCGCATCTACGCAGTCCAATGCTTTGGCATGTAGACCCTCTCGATCGAGATGCTCTTCTGGCTCATGCGTATGCTCACCAGCGTGAAGATGAGCTTGTTGAGATCCGTAACTGCGTCGGAAAAGAGGTCAGCAAGCACGCGAGCAAAAAGAAAGCCAAATGCAGAGCATGCGGCGGAAAGTATGTGAACTTTGATTGCTGGAGCACATACACAAAGATCTAACAGAAGAATTGATAGACAGGAAGCGAGGATTGATATCAACCTTAGAGAGCGAAACGATTATTACACACCATCACAATCGCTCTTTCGCGATCATTGCGAGCAAGTCGCCGATCGATATAATCTTGGAGAGAAGCTCATCCGCAAGGAGACACTGAAAGATATCGATTTTGGTGAAGTAAAAGGCGTTTCGATAGATGGTGCAAAACTCTTCACCATCACGACAGATGCAGCTCGTCAACATTATGCGAAAACGGTAGTCCTCGCAGTTGGACCAGCCAATACCCCCAAAATTCCATTTCTCCCATCTGCCTCCCCCTCACTCAGTGGTGAGCTTCCTCAAGCATGCCACAGTATGCAGATCAAGGAATTTCCAGATCCGCTTGTTCAATCACGCATCGCCGCAGGAAGATGCACCAACGTTCTCATCATTGGTGGCGGCCTTACTTCTGCACAGCTGGCGGTGCTGGCTCTCCGAAAGGGAGTCACCAAGATATGGCACCTTATGCGCGGCCCTTTGCGCGTCAAGCATTTTGACGTTGATCTCACGTGGATGGGAAAATATAAAAACGCAGAGCATGCGCGGTTCTGGTCCGCTGACTCGGATCTTGAGCGCCTTGAAATCATCAAGGAGGCACGCGGCGGCGGCAGCCTCACGCCTCTTTTCTATAAGAAACTGAAGAAATGCATCGCGTCTGGCAATCTCGAGCTTCATACTCACACGGCCCTCGTGGATGCGGAGATGAAAGAAGCGGATGGCTCTCACTTCTGGAGTATCAAGACAGAGCCCCCCATTGCAGGGCTGCCCTTGTTTGATTACATGTACTTTGCTACGGGCATCCAAACGGACTTTACTGCCTTGCCGTACCTCCAGACTATGCTGCAGAAATATCCTATTCACGGCCATGGCGGGTTTCCATGCATCAATGAGGATCTAATGTGGAAAGACGGAGTGCCTTTATTTCTAGCTGGAAGACTGGGGGCTCTTCAACTTGGTCCTGCGGCACCAAACATTGGAGGAGCAAAGATTGCGGCAGAGAGGGTAGCATGGGCAATCGAGGATATGATTACTTTGGACGGAGTGCAAGGGAGAGGTGAACAAGATAGTGGATTGGCGGACTATCTCTCAGGCCATGGGATTATGTACAGCATTTTGCAAGATGAGGTGAACCAATGATAGGCACAGCTAAACAAGGTTCACGGCGTGTTACTTGGACAATATGATGCTTAGCTTCAACTACAAGTTTGCGTCTCAATCCGAATAAATATCATAATGGTTCAATAAGTAGCAGCCAAGTTCTCTGCATATCATTACTCGTATATTAATATCGTAAAAATAAACTGGTCCCCGTTCGCTTGGTCTAGCCAGCCTATGAAAACCAGTTCCCACCCTGACACGATGCTGTCTAAACAATACCTTTTGGCAGCATCCACTTAGACTTCTCGAACAAGCTCATCGTCATGGAGGCCTGCGAGATGACCGTCCTGCTGCCTGACCATAACCTGCTTCTTCAAGGCAGCACGCGGCGGCCACTTTGCGTTGAAGACTTCGTCCAACTCCTCCAGAGTGCGGCCACGAGTTTCAATGCCAAAGAAGTACCAGCAGACGGCGTAGATGAGATTGAGGCCGACAAAGATGAGGTAGTAGCGCCAGTCGATGGAATCCAGAGCGATAGCAGTGACATAGGTGTTGTACAAATTTGCGGTATTCGAGAAAATAACGTGCTGTGGGAGCGCTCAAAGTCAGCATTTTGAATAATTGGTGGAAATACTGCTCAGTTTGTGAAAAGAAGAGGAGAGAAGGCTCGACTTACAACTCCCATACCCTTGGCACGGGTAGCGTTGGCCAGAACTTCCGCACAGTATGTAGCGGTTAGAGGAGTATAAACGAATGAGTAGGCGCAGCCGAAAAGGAAAATCTATAGAAGTGAGTCTTGTTAGCATCCAGCGTTTCGGTCTTGTTTATGCTACGTTCAGAGGATCGTCACTTACCATAGCAACACCGGCATTCGAATACGCCGTACTGATACCCGCAGAACCATGCTCGAACTTGCTAGAGAATCCAGTAACTGCGGCGAATAGTCCAGCGAGGACAAGACTACCGATCCAGAGTTTGGTACGGCGACCAACCTTGTCATTCGTGGCAGAGCCAGCAACAGCACCAGTGCAAGAAACGATGGAGTTCGCAAAGGTAAGCAGCAGTCTGCGGTCAACAGAAATGATACCCAGAAGCTTGTACATGGAAGGCAGATAGTAAGTCAAGACCGAGTTTCCAGAAAGCTGGGCGAAGAAAGACATGAAGGCCATCTGTGTGAATCGCCATCGAGAGTTGCGGTCCTTGACCAGAAGCCAGTAGTTGAAGACACTTGAAGACTTTTGCAATTCAATCGAGGTCTCGAACTCGCGCAACTCGAGCTGGACCAGCGGGTGGTTCAAGTCGCCACCGCCGTGATACTTGGCCAGGATCTCAGCAGCCTTGTCCTGCTTTCCCCACATGGTGAGCCATCGAGGGGATTCGGGGATGAAGAGTGCGCCGAAGAAGATGACAAGCGGAGGAACGATCTGGAGGGCCATGGGAAGGCGGAAGGCGAGGGTGCTATTGTGCTTGGCCGAGGCATATGCGACTCCGGTAGCGAGGATGGAGCCGGTGTAGAAGACTGTTTAGCATCGCTTCTATGTTAGCGGTATTCAACATCTCCAACGTTTCACTGTACGCTGAGAAGAAAAGAACATCCACATACAGGTGTTGTAGTAGCCAACGACACGGGCACGCCACTGGGGAGGAGCCAACTCGAGGGCATACGTCGGAGCAGACGAAGTTCCGATAGAAACACCGAATCCAAGGACAAATCGACCGCCCAGCAGGTAGGCGTCACTCTTGGCGGCGGTTTGTACAATGGCACCGACCATGATGAAGACAGCACCAGCCATCATACCGGCGCGACGACCGAAGCGATCGCAAATCGGGCCGGTGAAGAGGGAGCCGACCATGTTACCGATGGTATAAATCATGAAGATACTGCCAAGGTAGAATACATGTAAGCCAGAAGATACCATTGGAGTGACTTTTTGGACCAGATATCAACAACTTACATGCCGGTGGATGATCCCAGCTCTGTGTGGTGGAAATAATCCTGGTACTGCGTCATGGCGTTGATAGAGCTGAAGATGGACTGTGTTTGAAGCAGTATTAGTCGTCTCGTCTCACCTTCTGGGTGCTTTATCAAGGTTGAATCCACTTACACCGTCGAAACCAGATGCCGTCGCGTTCAATCCTGCCACCATCAGGATGAGGTACAACTTGATGCTCGTCCTTGACCATGGATCCATCGGCGCCCCGGTAACGATCTCATGGAAATGTGCATTGCCCTGGACTTCGGTGATGTTTCCAATGGCAGATTTGTCAAAGGCATCGCCATTCAGCGAGCCATGGTCAACGACCGCTTCAGGCCGTGACTCGTCCTTCTCACCCATGGCTCTAGTTCGCGTTGTCGCTCCTCGACCTTGTAGGTCTTTTTTTCCTTTGCAGAGCTAATAGAGCAATGGTGCTACTGCAAGTAAAGGAGCAGAGCACAGATGTCAGCAAGAACAAGGGAGAATGGGAAGGCTGATGAAGGAAAAAGATGTACGCAAGACCGACAGCGGGTCAAGATCTCTTTATGGGTTCGCGCAGTCAAGCAAAGGGCAGCATCCAACGGTGATGGTAGCAGGCCGGACTAACAGCCCAGTCTTCCCCATGCTCCACGACGAGCCACGAGGCAAGCCGAATTCTAGACAGGGATAAGCAGCGAAGCAAGATGGAGGTTGCAATCCATCATCCACACTGGGCTCAAAAGTGCAGCAAAGGCCCTATCTCCTTGCGCGTAAAAGTCCCCAGCCCTCGGGAAAGACAAGACAAGACAATCAACCGTCTCCGCAGTTTTCCCCCATCTTTCGTCCCCCCACCGAGCGCCAGGGAGCAACAAGCACTCGAACCATCGCGCTGGGCCTAAGGCTAGCGGCGGCAAGATTCTGGATTCGTGGAGTGATGGGGTAAAACCTGCTGTCGATGAGTGCGTGCAAAGTGCCGTTTCTGGTTAGTTGTCGTAACTGGGCAGCCCGCTGGTGGGCTTGCATCGCGACGGTGAGACCTTGCCGGCTATTCACGAGACTCCTTCGTCCGAATGCGGGGGTTGACTTCACCAAGTGGCAATGAGACAAGACGGATGCATTGAATGAATCGCTTCTTCGGTGAGTTGAGGCTCAAATGTCGTTTCATCATCGAGGCGAAACCGAGCTGAGAGGTGCTCAGCCACGATCATCTCAGGTACCGGAAGCCGTTGAGAGTACATGTGCATATTCAGACCTTGCCTTGGCGCTGAGACTGGCTTATTGGCGCTATTGACCCCCACAACGCTGTTATCCACCATACGAAGAAACAGTACCCAGGATTGTGCTTTCAATATCTGCTTATAGAACTATCTAGTAATAGAAAGGCTTGCAAAAAGTGGCTGTCGCATCATAGCTTTGAGATTATAGATGCTCGTAATCAGTATGTGCATGCTCTCTCTTCCTCGGAGGGCGTATACATCTAGAATGCCGCAGCAGCAATGTACCCAATAAACGACACCAACGAGCGAGCAAAGAGGTGCGGCTCACTGCATAAACATGGACATGGATCTAGACCTTCTTGCCCGAGTCGTACACTGCTATTGGCTGGCCTTTTTCAAGTTGCTCCGGCCTCCTCATTCTGGAGATATGGACGTTTATCCGTTTACTTGCTGATCCCTGACCAGCATTGCTCACGCGCCCATCATTCGTTATCTGCGAGCATTGTTTTGTAGCTTTCCGAGATATCAATCAAGGCTATCAGCTCCCAACGCCGCCGTATGCCCTTTACCAGGCTATCATCCTGTGTCCGTATTCTCTCCAGACCAGCGCCGACGATAAAACCCCACCAACCAGACCCCCCATGCATCATCCCAACGTTGCGAGGCGCCTCTTGGCACAGCGTTCACTGTGTATTCATCGTCGGCGGTGACCAAGTAGCCCAGATCAGAACGTTCCATCACGGCACGACTTGGCCTTGAGCTCGACCCCCACGGATGCTGGTACGAGGTTTCCCCTTAGAGCTTCGAGGATGGAGGCCCCTCCTCGGGCCAACAAGGCGAGATCCGTTGTCTTTATCCGTCCTCCGTAGAGCTGTCAAACTAGAAGCTATCTTAGGAATAGATATGCCTTTTTATGGGTATGGCTCTAGCTGCCTTGGACGCTACCTTGAAGCTCCATATCTAGGGTATACATAGTGCCTGTATACCGGCGTCGCGCCCTTCACAGACAGCCCCAACTCCTATCTATGGTATGACTACTTTTGCTATCTTGAACCTGTATACAATGTAGCTTCCCCGCATGATCTCAGCTTGGTCATGCCTTGAAGTTGGCCGGTCCCCCACAGAAGAAGGATAAGATCCTAATAATAGGCTGGAAGGGTGAGTCTTCAGCAGGGCGACGATCACAAGAGAATTATCAGCTAACCTCTATTTGTCCATATATTCGTTCTCATGTCTGTCCTCTCTCCAACCTTTAAATGCACGCTATTGAAAGCTTCGGCTTGACGTAGCAGCACCAAGGCGTGTATAAGACATTTTTATGGCTTGGACCCCCAACCACGGCTTAGACTCAAGTGACCGCCGGTAGATGGAAAGACGACCTGAAATGCTATCGTGGCGTCGGGCAGGAGGTGGAAGTGTATATTTTGAACGGATGAACGGATGGCTCTCCCATCATTGTCATCGATAGTTCCTTGTTGCAACGTAAACATTGCTCAGCTGGAATTGCGATGGGGTAAAGTGGGAAGATGTCGACTTGACGTGTAACGGTCACGCAGGCCCGGCATTTTGTAGTCGATGCAACATGTAGCAACTTCTACAGCTCTCATTCACGCCCTGTGAAATTGCGGACCCTTTTTCTTTTTGTTAGTTACCGGCCTCTGATGGGATACACTTCTACAAGCATACTCCAGGAGAGAGCTGTATGGACTGTTCTTAGTGGAGTATGATGAGACTTTACTTGACAAATGTCAATGATTCGAGGACCTGTTCCAGACCATCAAAATGCTTCAGCTACGAGGGACATTCGACATGCGAGTTGGATATCTTGAAAGCATTCAAGAATATTGTCTTGAACCAAAACTGGCACGTAGAGCTTCCAATCGAATCTAGAAGCCTTTGAAGTATGAGTACGGAGTACAATATGTGTGAAGAGGCAACAAGTCTTTATTGTTTCTCCGTCTACTGCCATCCGAGACGAACCTCTCATCGGATCACCATTATGTAGTCTCCCTAGTATTGCGTCCGCTTCATCGTCCAACTTTTGAGTAGACTAAAAGCAAGAACTGCAATGCTATTTGATAGCTGCCTTAAATCTCTTAACTGATAGCTCCCATGCTCTATAAATACTCTTAGCTTTAGACATAGCGCTCACTCGGTCGCAGATGACTCAATTGGATAGCAAGTTTCTAGTAATAGCTATCTTCATATGACTATGTGCGCTCCTCCATCATTTTGCGGCTGTTTGGCTCATTAAATAAGCTATAGTTCAGAAGATATGCCCTTGCAAGTGTAGGACGCCCATACGGAGACATGCCTCGGCACAGAAGCTTCATTGCCGGCAGCCACAGGCAACAGCGTCTCTTTTTGCCAAATTACAGCGGTGCATACATGGAAAGCTAGCCAATCTGACGCCAAGAGTGAGATCAGCCCCACCGTATCGGCGTTGGAAAGGTTACAGAGACGTCCGTTTGTAGTAAGCCATCGCTCAGGCCGGTAGGCGCAGCCAACACAGCTGGGCCTTTACGTGAACTGGGCTTCACTACCACTGCATAAAAAGAGCTTCTCTGGTACATCCCAATTGAAAGCTTTGGTTACCACTGTTTATCATACCTTGATTCCGCTCTCAACCCAAGTTCGCCTGGTATTCATTCCGCAGCTAATCAAAGTACAACGCCACAACTCCAAGCAGCCAATCGCCTACGAGGCCAGGTTCCCCGAAAGCCACTTGCTGTCTAAAATCTTCTCGGCCAACCGATAATTGGGGGCCAGCACCGCTCGCTCTCCGCCCGCCTACGGAGATCGCTTCAAATAACATTCGCAACTCGGGAATCAAATACGACAAAAGTGAACAATACAGACAATGGCCCTGTTCTCTAAGCTCGCCACCGGCGCTGTAGGTGCCATCCACATCTACATCCTCACCTTGGAAATGTTCCTGTGGGACACCCCGCGCGGCCACAAGGCCTTCAAGCTGGCGCCCGATTTCGCCACAAAGACCAAAGTGCTGGCGGCCAACCAGGGCCTCTACAACGGATTTCTTGCCGCAGGGCTGTTCTGGGGACTTGCGCACCCAGTGGAAAGCTTTGGAGAGCAGATCAGGCTGTTCTTTTTGGGATGCGTAGGAGTTGCGGGCGTGTATGGCGCGGCGACGGCCAGCAAGAGGATCCTGTATGTGCAAGCAGTGCCGGCGGCGGTGTCTATTGCGGCCACGCTGCTTGGACTTTGAGAAGTTGATATGTACAAGACTATCAATGTATCATTCAATGCCTGTATATAGCTTTTACAATGCAGAAAACATCTTGGAATACGAGTCCCAAACGATACATCTTTGCAATGCGTATTGGTTAAACAAGAACGTGAAAGCACTGCAAGAGACTTCCAAGTATAATGTCTCCTATGCAGCCTGAACTCAGGGAGTATCTCCAAGTATGAATCTTTCGAGTATTCAAAATCGAAAAGAAGCCGGTAGAGATACGCAAAAACACATATATCCACCGTTTGCTTGGTGTGTTCTTTTTTTTTTTCGCTCCCTGCAGCAAATAATTGAAGTGGTCCGTGCGCGTCGCGATTGCTGTGCCAGACGCGCTTCACTCCAGCAAAAGGCGATCAATATTCACATGCACTTTAACTGTACTTGCATCAATCCATGGTAGTCTGATTCAAGCCATGCCTGCAACAAAGCGTCAGAGACCACCTGCTAGAGCAGCTTCAAAAACAAAATTAAATTCATCCGACAGCAGAAGTTCTCGATCAAAGAAGCTTCAAGATGCCGCGTCGTTAAGTGGCGATTCTGACTTTGAGATTGAAGCTGAGCTCAGCCCACCAGAGAATGCCACCAAGAGGCGAAAGACGGCTTCTGCTTCACGTTCAGTAAAACTGGATGATACTTTGCGTAAAAGACTCTTTGCTCGAGATTCCACAGAAACACCAAAAGAGCCATGCTTGCCGCCTCTTCGACAGCACTCCATCACATATCACAGACCCCTGCTCTTAGACCAAGATGTCGGGTCTCAAGGTCGTAAAGCCTTGCTTTCGTGGTTCCATTCCGTTAGCGAATCGCGATCCATGCCATGGAGGAAACCCTGGATCAATCCCAAAATGATATCAGACCCAATTGAACTCCGAACAACGCTCGAGAAACGCGCCTACGAAGTATGGATCAGCGAAATCATGCTTCAGCAGACTCGCGTGGCCACCGTCATTGACTACTGGACTCGCTGGATGGCCAAATGGCCAACGATACATGATCTTGCGGCGGCAAAATCTGAAGATGTGCTTGCTCAGTGGAGTGGGCTTGGATATTACAGCAGAGCAACGAGAATCCATGAAGCAGCAAAACTTGCAGTTGGCGATCCAGACATGAAAGGTCTTTTACCATCATCCGCAAAGGACCTTGAAGCAAAGATGCCGGGAGTCGGGGCGTACACCGCAGGCGCAATCTCATGCATCGTCTTTGGCAATCCGAGTGCCATGGTTGATGGCAACGTTTTTAGAGTGTTGAGCAGGCAACTGGGCATACATGGAAACGTGAAAGCGGACAAAGCTGTCATCGACACCATCTGGGCTGCGGCAGATGCCCTGGTCAAAGCTACATCAGAGCTGGACGGTGACGATGGCCTAATAAACACCGAGCCCAACGACAGGCCAGGACAATGGGGTCAAGCACTTATGGAGCTGGGCAGCACAATCTGCACGCCAAATCCGAACTGCTCTCAGTGTCCGATCACATCGACTTGCCGTGTTTACAAAGAAGGCGAACTTCAGGCCAAGAAGTCAAAGGAAGCTTCTCCTAGGATTCCAGATATCGAAGATGCCTGCACCTTGTGCGAACCGTTTGAGGGTGACCTTGAAGATAGTGATGATGATTCGGCACAGGATAAGAAGCGTGGCAAGGCCAAGAAGCCCGATGCAAAGCAAAGCAAGCAGGCCACGTTGACAGCTTTTGCGTTTACGAAGAAAACCATCAGCAGCTCCTCATCCCTTTCCTCTCCTGCAGCAGCGGCTTCAACAGCTTCCAAAGAGACAATGGAAGCAATCACGAGATACGCGCGCAAATTTCCTGTCAAGCCCATAAAAAAAGCTGTCCGCATAGAGGAAACGCTTGTCTGCGCCATCCGCCGCGGTGACGGCCAGTATCTCATCCAGCGGCGACCACTGAAAGGCTTGTTGGCCGGGCTATGGGAGTTTCCTAGTAAGCTGCTTGAGGCCTCAGCAAAGATAGATAAGAAGAAGCGGGAGCAGCTTTCTGTCGAATACGTGTCGGGGCTTTTACATGTCACCAAAGTCGGTAAAAAGCCAAAGGTATCATACAAGGGCGAACTGGGCAGCATAGATTGGCAATTTACGCACATCAAGCTGACAATGCACGTCCATCTTTTTACTGTGGGCGAAGATGCTATGGTAACTGAGGATGACGAGGAACAGCCCAGGCAATGGGTTGCTGATGTTGCTGGTTTTGAGTCGATGGGGACGGGGATGCGGAAATGCTGGGATATGGTGAAGGCAGAGGCTGAAGAGTTGTAATAATGTGCTGGAGCTATATAATAAGGGAAAACGATTTTCAAGCATTATAGCCGTTTACAGAACAAGAGATGGTAGCTAGACGGACATTGGCGTTTGATAGACAGGTACATGCTCGCCTAGATGCACACGATTGTAGAATCAAGCTGTTGGAATACAGTAAGTAATTTTAGATGCAGGTATATGTTGTGCCAAGTAATACAGATGGGTACATGGCATCTATGCAGCATCTAGACGCACTCTTTAGTCGACTCTGATATTCTTCATCACTTTCAGACACTATGCAAGGAACAGCGATCGCAAAGCAGATCTCCCGCAGAATTGCAAGGTATGGATAGGACTAGTCTGTGGAGGGTTGCAATATTGGAACGCAGACATGTCACCATGCCTGATTACCACGTGCATCAAGATGAAAAAGAAACTTGATTAACAGAATCCAGTTGATTATATCAACTTAGATCTACACCTGCTAGACAATGCCTCAAGTACAGTTCCCTTCTGCTGCTCACTGCTCCTTTTTCAAAAAGTCCAGGGTAGGCTGGCTGCGCGTAATGCGTCCAGGGACTAGGTAATTAATCGATTAGCTGGCGAAAGGGGTCGGTGGAGGCTCAGGCCGACGATTCGTACATAGTCCGGCCTTGTTCCCCGCCCGCCTTTTGCTCTCCCAACCCTTTGATATACGCCCGTCGAGTCTGCAAGGTACGAGAAACGTTACGCAGGGAGAGCAAGAGAAGCGCAGAATTCAGAAAGGCGCGTCTCAGATCAATGCTAACTCGCCGTCTCCGGCAGATCCCGCACGTGCCGACCGGATCCCGGAATCCCATCTTGCGCTCCTGAATCGGCGGCCCGCCACGAAGACGCTCTACGAACAACACTCTATATCGCTTCTACAGCGCCAAATAACAAAAGAGAGCGAAAATGTCTGGACTCGACGCCCCCGATATCGTGGCTGCCTACGACGATGTGCGCAACGACAAGCTCGAGACCAATTGGATGCTCCTCTCCTACGCGGGAGCCGTGGGCAACAAGCTGGCACTGGCCGGGGCTGGAACCGGCGGTCTGAGCGAGCTGGTTTCGTCTCTGAGCGACGACGGGGTGCAGTACGGCTACGTGCGGATCGAATATGCCAACGACAAGGAGAGCACGCGAGTCAAGTTTGTGCTGGTCATCTGGATCGGCAAGAACACAAAGGTGATGCGAAAAGCGCGCGTTAGTGTCGAGAGCAGTGAGGTCAAGAAGGCGCTTGCGCATCACCACTTGGCCGTTACGGCGGAGGAGGAGTCAGAGCTCAAGGAGGACGACCTTGTGAAGCAGCTGAGAAAGTCTGGAGGCGCGGATTACAATGGTGGACGAGGTTAATTTTGGTTATTACCATTAACTGCGAAGAGGAGCTTAATTTGGAGAAGGGGTGAAGAGGAAGAGACGAAGCAGAGAAGGAGATGGGACACCAGGATAGATGGATAGATGGATGGACGTGGAAGAGGGGAGGGAGCTCAAAAAAGCTGGATATCAATATAGACTATATATATACGCAATTTGTACTTAGCGGATTTGCATGATGACACCGACGATGATCAACGATGATGATGATGTATCTAATGATAGAAACATCTCGCGCAAAAACGAGAAGGGAAAAAGGAGCAACAGGGAAAGGGATGAACGATACTGGGTACCTATGCTGTAACAAGAGAAAGGCAGGCACGCGAGCAGATTGGCTACAAAATTCGGAACAAGACAGATGGGCCGAGATTATCGCCAGACCACGGTGGATCGCGGCTTGCCACGGACAATGAGACAGTGAACGGCTATATGCAAGGATAGGATGAGACCACGAGGCTAGGCTAAGATAGAGCTGTTCTGAGGAAATACTACTAGCAACATTGAACGATGCCGTGTATACTTGTAACGAGGATAAGAGGATGAACAGACATGTCAAGTCTGCTTAAATACACGCGATAACGGGTAGCATCGTTTTCACGCAAGTCAAGGTATTACTTTGTTTATACTAATTTGAAGGCAACTCCAAGAGTGCGTGCCTTCTTGGTACTTGAAGTATAAATACTCTTACTGAGACACAGACACAGCTGTAGATACCATTAGCTGAGCGCATTAGCTGGCCGCGTCCGCAATCTATTGGCAGACAACGGGCTCTAATTTGCGGCGCCCATCGCCCAGACTCCATCAACTCGCTCCTCCAGGGATCAACTTTGTTGGATTCGACGGGCAGGCCTCGCGCTTGGAGCCTAGTGCGTGGAGAGGCCCTCGTGCAGTCTTTCCTCAACAGCCCACCGAGAACGGTTTATTGGGGCTTAGCGGCGACTGTTGAAGTCTGGCGGATTTGCATGTGCTTGCGGGTCTTTTTTCCACGGCCTTTTTATTACGCGTAGGGATCCTGTCTGTTTTTGCCTCTGCGTTGTTGCTTTTGCTTCGTATTCATGTACATGCAATGCAATGTACCTCGTGAGACCATTGGTAGGCACATACCGTGATTGTTTTTGTTTACATGCCTTGCCAACCCGGTTGGGTTCGAGCATCAGCAAAGAGCACTGACTGCACTAATACGAAGCATATCTCCCAAGCATCTCACAAATCTTATCTGGCATCTCATCTGTAGCCCGCTGTCACCTGTAAGCATCCTAAAACAAAATTCAGATCTACATCACACACACGTCTTACGCTGCACCCTGAATTTAAAGCCTTAAAGCCTTCTAGAAACACTAAAACAAATGGAAACAGCCGTCCACGCCACCATCCGCAGAGGCTTTCGTCGGCCAAGACCGCCTCTTGCGGCCAAAACAGACGTCTGACGTAGTTTTGGCAAGGTTGGACAGTCGTCTAATCCCACTAACGAAGCCACCTGGGGCCACCGCCGAGCCCAAGACAGCCACTCAAAGCGTAGCAAAGCCATCCCAGGGCCAGTTTTCATCGCCTCCCCCTTGTCCGGTCCAGTCTAGCCCCGAGCCTCGCTGCCTCGCTAGCCTGGGGAACTGCCCCAGTTGCGGCACCATATCGTCCAAAAAGCCCATGATCCCTTGGAGATGTTGATGGGAAAAACTCGAGCTAGCGACCAAACCGCCATGGGGGGAATACCTCGCTTGTAGTCGATGGATACCGTACATGTACAAGTAAGTATTCATCTACGATTCAAGCAGTTTTGGCATCAACTCCAGGTTTCTCACGCCGTTTAGCTCCAAGGCACAAGCCTCTATTTAGCCTCATGAATGACTCTCCTGCTCGTCCATATTAAGCCGCATCTGATTGGAACATGGACATGGCTTGTTTTTCCCTCCTGTTTAGCGCAAACTTCTCGGAGCGTCGATCCACGCCGAGTTCCTGTTACTGAAACTGGCCGGAGCCCGCCCCGCCGGTGCCAAATAAGAGAGACGGGAGAGGAAAAAAGAGGAGAGAGACATGCTTTTTTGGTACTTTGTGATTTCCTCGACTCGGCGGTTTTCCTCTCTCTCTCTCTCTCTCTTCTCGTCCTCCTACTTGTACTTGAATTAACCTTCTTTTCTTTTTTCTACTTTCCAACCCTCATTACTTTTTGGAATTAGAGACAGTCTCAGCTTTCCCCCCACAGAAAAAAACAGAGGAAAAGAAACACCAAATTTCTTTTTCTCTTCCTTATTCGACAAGTCCCCCGTCGCCCTCGTCTCCTACTAGACAAGGCTCCAAGACCCCCAAACACGCGACAGATATCGCATGCGGCCTAGTCGCACATGGACTTCAGCTCGTCTATCACCGCATCCCGGTTCCCTTGACCCTGCTTACCTGCATGAGCTCGGCGCTACAGCCTCTCAACACAATCGACTGTTGGATCTCGTAGCCTGTCGCAAAGTCTAGACCACACGTGCCTTCTCTCACTGCTGCTGCTGCTGCTGCTCGTTTAATTCCCCCACTCGCTCTATTTTCCGAGGCTCTTTAAATCTTCTCTCCTCGCCGTGTGCCTCTAGCGACGTTCCTTTTCTTCGCACCTCCTCTTCTCGTCGTGATACCCTCGGTTTTCCTCTCGCCATGTCGTCCTCCTCGTCCAAGGTCGGCGCAAGCCCGCCTGCCGTGGACTCGAAGCGGCTGGAGAGCAACCAGCTGTCCAGCGTCGAAGACACCGCCGACCACCTCCTCGAGACGCTCGGCTACACGCCCGAGCTGTCGCGCAATCGATCGACGGCCCAGGTCGCCTTCATGTCCTTTGTCCTCGCCTCGATCCCGTACGGTCTGGCCACGACGTTATACTACCCGCTGCTGGGAGGAGGTCCTGTTGACATTATCTGGGGATGGGTCCTGGTCTCTCTCATCATCATCTGCGTCGCTGCCTCGCTGGGTGAAATCACGAGTGTCTATCCTACTGCCGGAGGTATATCTCGCCAATTCCAGTCGCTTCTTCGTTCTTCGCTTCTGGAGTTTGCGACACGCTTTGCGCATTTGTCGCGAGCTCTCCAGCAACCGCAAACTATCATAAACACAGTGCTAATCTTTGTCGCTTTCTCCAGGTGTCTACTATCAAGCCTTTATGCTGGCCTCTCCCAAGTGGAGGCGCATTGCAAGCTGGATCACCGGTTGGCTCTTCATCGTTGGCAATATCACAATCACCCTGGCCGTCAACTTTGGCAGCACCTTGTTCTTCGTTTCGTGCATTAATGTGTTCGAGAAGGAGCCTGGTGTTGGCATCTTTGCCGGTGAAACATGGCAGATTTTCCTCATCTTCTTGGCTCTGACCTTTTTCTGCAATGCCGTGTCTGCCTTTGGCAATAAGTGGCTCCCTTGGCTAGACGTACGTCCTTGTATCCTGTATTTCCCTTTTATAGTTGGCTCCAAGACTGGCGATTTCGTCTTGCCCTTGATCCATCTCTTCCTAAGAATCTAGGAGAGGACGAATTGCTGACTTTGCTGATAGACTGCTGCTGTTTTCTGGACATTCGCCGGTGTCATTGCCCTCATGGTCACCATTCTGGTCCTTGCCAAGGAGGGTCGAAACGATGCCAAATGGGTGTTTGGCCACTTTGAGTCCTTCTCCGGCTGGCCTAGCGGATGGTCTTTCTGCGTTGGCCTGCTTCACGCTGCCTATGCCACCTCTTCAACCGGAATGATTATTTCGTAAGTAGCTTGCTGTTTGCCTGATTACTTGATATCACCCCTTTTCGTCAGTGATACTAACAAGCCGACGCCAGTATGTGCGAAGAAGTCAGAGACCCTGCCACCCAGGTCCCCAAGGCCATGGTTGCCACCATCGTCATCAACACCATTGCCGGCCTCCTGTTCCTCGTCCCTCTTGTCTTCGTCATTGACGACCTGCAGGCCCTCGCCGAGCTTGTTAGCGCCCAGCCCGTGCCTCCCATCATCAAGTCCGCCGTCGGCTCTTCTGGCGGTGCCATTGGCCTCCTCATCCCCATCATGGTCCTCGCCGTCATGTGCGGTATTGGCTGCACCACCGCCGCGTCTCGTTGCACTTGGGCTTTTGCTCGTGATGGTGCCATCCCAGGCTCCAAGTGGTGGGTCAAGGTCAACAAGACTCTGGACGTGCCTCTCAACGCCATGATGCTCAGCATGGTGGTACAAATCATCCTCGGAGTCATCTACTTTGGCTCTTCCGCCGCCTTCAACGCCTTCTCCGGCGTCGGCGTCATTTGCCTGACGGCCGCATATGGAACTCCCGTTGCCATCAGTCTGCTGAGCGGAAGGAAGCAAGTCCGCAGGGGCAAGTTCTATCTCGGCCACCTTGGTACTTTCTGCAACGTTATCACAGTTGGTAAGCATTATTCTTTGTCGATTCCGTAATTGCTAGTATTGCTAAGTAGTTGACTAACTTGATACGTTTCACAGCCTGGTCCCTGCTTGCCATGCCGCTGTTTTGCATGCCGACTGTCATCCCCGTCACAGCCGAGACAGTCAACTATGCTCCCGTTGTGTTCGTTGCCGCGATGCTCGTCTCCGGTATCTGGTACTGGGCCTGGGGCCACAAGAACTATGCCGGCCCGCCTGTGCACGAGGATTAAGCGAGTTTTGACCCTTTTAATTTTTTGAATATATATATTTCTCGTCAAGGACAAAAACAGGATTTTGGATACCCAAGGAGTGGCGTTTGGTGGCTGGTGTTTTTGAGATGAATGATGGCGGGAAACAAAATTTACATAGTTGGCTGAATAAATTATGAATTTTGAAAAGTCGAGTTGTTGTTGCTTGCTCTTGCTCCTTCGTCTTGGCATAGAATTGACTCAACAACAGACGCCCAGTTGGCTTGAAAGAGTCGAGCTCATTGTCATATGCCGCTGTCATCAACAAGTTTACCAAAGGAGCAACACTTGCGAAGACTGAGCTCAAGGTAAGAATCGGTATCCCTTTCTTTCTGAGACTTGAACTGCGCGCTGACTACAAACTAGGCAGGCTCATAAAACTGCTCCTCGTGCTCCCTGCAGAAAGAAAGAAGCAAAGAACGTGAGACGGCTCACCGTCTATTCACTCGCCTGACTCAAAAAAATTCAAAACATGGCCCCCACGCAGAAAAAGGAGGCAAACAAAGTTTTCACTCATGTGCCACGCGACAGACCCGATATGCCTCCCTTGCGTATCTAGATATACTCTACATATGACCCTCGCATGCATAGCCGCGGATTATTATTTTTTATACAAACGTCATAGATCTGTCAATGCAGCGGCATAGATTCCATGATCACAACTCAAGATACGAGGAGAATAAAACCAAAAGGCAATGTGAGTTCTGAGTTATTACGTCTCCGATATGCACGTTGCAACTCTATCATCCACCGCAACGGGTCACGCCTCTAACTCAGATTGTCACTCACTGCATCGAAATCGAGAAAAGGCAAAGACCAGAAAAGGCATTCTCAAAAACCCCATACAGGACCCTGTCCAAAAGTTAAAAAAAAAGGGAAGAGCACGCTGAAGTTAAAGTTTTCAAAGTATCCCTGCCTTTTGCGTCTCCTCCCATCTCGTGATGGAAATCTCTTCTCGCTAAACCGACTTCTGCCCACGAACTGCAGTTCCCCCATATTCTTTTCCCACGTTTAACGGAAAGCTAGCCATACCTCACAAAGACGAGAGAAAGACTTGTCACTTTGACGCAGCTGACTTATACTTGCATGCCTACCAGTACATTTGCATTGCATCTACATTGCTAGCGGGATAAGCAGCCTCTCTGCAGCTTGTCTCTTCCTCTCCCTTTGACTTTTCTTCCGCTGTCATTCTGTCGGTGAGGGATGAAATCCTGGGGATGGCAGTTGACGGGAACGGGCCTCTTCAGCCGTCACTCTTCCCTCAGCCAGCTAGACTGCTCCTACTAAGGAGAGACTATGTGCTTATCTCGCATGGCTAGGCCAGCTGATGTGATAGTTCACCACCATGCCTACCGCATCTGCATACATGGCATACCCCAGAAAACGCGAGCCGAGCCAACACGTATCAATCGAATGGCTGTTCAGCCAGCTGCACCTCCAACGTCACGCGTATCCTTCCCGCAGCTCGTAAAAAAAAGCCGCCAGTGCCGCACCCCGGATTTCATGTATATGCATCCAGCATCATGGTTGTTTGAGAAGAGGAGCATCATCCACGCACTTGGAAATGCAAGGAGAGAGTATAATCCTAGCCACCGTCTAGTACTACAAGTACTGCTACAAATGTCCTCGCAATACTTCTGCTATATTACTACCACTAGCACTAATAGAATTGGGAGGGCAACAATGCGTATACGCGGGATCACTAGCTTACGAGGCCAAACACCATCGATTGGTAGAACCGTCTTTTAGCCAAAAAAGATGGTGATGTTACTCCAATGCAAGCCACTACAGGGTAAGGATCAGTGTGTGAGAGAAAGAGTCTCAGAGGACTAGCGGTCAAGGACTACTACCTACAACAAGAAACGGGAACTTGGACCTTTGCCGTTTGGCCTATGGCTGGAAGAGCTCACCGATCTGCTTGTTGAATTCGATTTAGCGCCAGTCTTGTCCTCCCCATGTAATCCGTCCAAGGTTTCGGGTCTGTTGCCCTTCTCCCCCCCCCTCCAGTCCACAACAGGCAAAAAAGCCCAATACTGTACGGAGTACGCCGTAGCTACAACCTTCTATATCAGACTTTTTGTCATGTTCCTCATGCCTCCCCTTGTTTGCGTCCCAGCTCATCGGTCAGTCCATGTTTATGCTGTGCGTTGACCGATATCCCAGGGCTCCTTATCACGACCTGCCGCACTCAGCTAGGGTCATGACGTCTTATATCTGTCATGAGAAAGTTATCGTCAGCAGAAAGAGGAGCCCCCTTGCTCCGAAAAAGAGCTCCGTAAGCCAGACCCCCATTAAAAAAAAAAGAACGGCTGGTAGTAATTAAAAACGGGAGAGAGAAATGAGCATAACAAAAGTAAAAAGCGAAGTCCGAGATCCCCATCCATAAGACTACCACATCCTGCCAGCAATACCAAGTAGTATCGGCCATCTTGTCTAAACGCTGCCCGACGAACAGCTGGCTGTCCATCTTTGGCCCACCCCTCTTTTTCTTCATCTTCTGTATATGTCGCTTTTGCGCTGAGGCCAAGCATCCCCCCATGTCCCAGACGCCCGTTTGTGTTAATATAGCATCAATCAATCAATCAGAAATGATCATTCATCCGTCACCGGCAGCGAGTGGGGCCGAGTGCGTGTACATTGAGCACCACTCCGTCTCGTGCTGTTAGCATCCCATGCCTTTTGGACTTAGTTCAGCAACGGCAAGCCTGCTCCGTTGGGAGAAGCGTATTGCTATAATAACGACGAAGCGCTAGATATGTACGGTAGGCGCTTCGTGTGCGCTTCAATCTCATGAAGCAGCCCAATATGGCGTAGTTACCGTGGTATTCGTGCAACCGTCCGCATCGGTGTGGCGTTCGTGGCTCGCCAGACAATCTGGAGGCGCGCATTGCAGCTCTCGCTGCAGCCCTTTTTCGCTTCCCATGAGCCCAAGCTGCATGCCGATGGTCAATAGCTTCGGCCTTCAATTTATTTAGAATTCAACGCTGGACTGCGGGGAAACGGCCTCGAAGCTTCCAGCTGATTACATCTTAGGGTTGTAACGTAATTTCACTGCTACTGCTACTGCTAGCAGCTGTATGTACGAGCATCAGAAGCGAAGCGAAGCAATTGAGGGGGGTGCAATTGAGCATGACATGGCACGGATGAAGCTTACAGCAGCCGTTAGCTCCATCTCCATTTCTTCCTCGCCGTTATTCCGGAGAAGCATGTACAAGTACTTCTCATCAGTAAAACTGCCTATTCCGTAGTCTCCATACGAGCAGCAGCAGCGGCAGCAGTTAGCATGCGCTGGGATTTAAATCATCGGCCCCCAGCCGACAGACGGCGCCAATGGCAGTCGGTGTGACAGCCGGGGTGACCAAAAACTCAAAGGGGGGGTGTAATACCAGCTTGGGAGAAGAATCCCGGCAAAAGATGTAGATTATAGAGAGCTTAGGTCGGGCTGCATACGAAGTCCAAAAAAAAAAAAAAAGGTAATCATCGCGGCAAGGCGGAGCTGTGCTGGAGAGCTAGTTACCCTATTTGGCGAGTCCCATTGAGACTCCTGGATATGTTGATATGGCTATCCTAGTAAGGTAGTCGTAGTGTGTGTTAGTTGAATTTTGGCACCCAAGAGAGCCACTCTGGGAGAGAAAAATCACTCTGCGATCGTCGCGAACCCACTGCTCCGACAGGGTACGTATTTCTCGATCCTCATAGTGATCCATGATCAGGGCTGGATTTGGCATGCACCTCATCGCGATCTAGAGGGGCGAAAAAAAGGATCCGTGTTTCGCATACCCAGGCTCCCCAACGTAATTTCAAACGGATCTCCTTAAGATTACATGCTGGTAAAGATGAGGTCAACTGACGGATAAACATAGAGAAGTGGAATGGAAAAAAAGAGTTGAGACAAAAAAAAATCTTCCTGCTGCTAGTAGGCATTACGACTCCTGCGCTTCGTACTCAAGGCTGGTGGAGCGAGAAAGAGGCAAACGATGTCACAATGCATGAGTAACGGCGGCATGAGTAGCAGTCAGTCGGCTGCGGCGGAATTTGACGTGGCTCATAGGGGGCGTGCCTTTTCCTTGTTCTCTCCGTCTGCGCTGGTGTTTGTTTCTTTCTTGCTCAGCATACGGTATATGGTATGGTTAGCAATCTAAATTCGGGTGCGGCGCGGGCGAGCCAGAAGAATGCGGCTTGCGCATCATGGCCCTTCGCGGCACGAGATGGTGGGCAGACCCCGACTTTGATAACAGGATTTGGCGCAGACCCTTTGCCTGCTAGCAGAATTTGCCATCGAATTCTTGAAGTTGATGGATGGATTGATTTGCGGATTGCGCCCTAGATGTGCGCGGCGCCGCCTTGGAATGCCAATGAGCCCCTGATGCTCGCTGCGCGCCGCCTATCAGTCTAAGCTTGTTCGCCTCAAAAGGTGGTATTCAAGTATTGTAGCTGCTCGACCGCCCGTCGATCAAGCCTTCTAGACTTTTTGAGTTGGCTGATCCATCGATCTAAAATCGTCTGCCGTACCGGTGGCGAGCCCGAGATGATTGCCCAGCTGCTCGGGCGCTTCTCCCGTGCATATCTGCACACAGCTTGAGGCCCAATGTCTTTCCCACCGCACCCAGCTCAATCTCCGGAACTCGTCCACGAGGCAGAAATGAGCGCGCAAAACCTCCGTAACACAGCATCAGCATGTCGTCATCGGTTCGTGGCCAAGGCAGAGGCAGCCCCGCCTCGGATCCCTGTCCGCTGCAGCACGCAACTTTGAAACGCAGCACCGCAACACAGAGTCCTCCTGGCTGAGACGAGTTCGTGGCCGGCGAGCTGCTGCCGCCGCTTGCTAGCTAGGGGGGCCTCTCAATCTCGGTGGGCCGTTGGCGCAGACAAGACCAGACCGATGGGGCTCGTCTGCAGATTGTGTGTGCGCCGTCCAAATTGCCCCCGTCCACCGTTAGCTGGGAACCGTTGCGCAGACATGGTTGCATCTATCTCGACGT